TAAAAGACTATAGATGGACTGGGAAATATATAGAAGAAAGCTATTGAGGAATTATTAGTAGACCAAAAAGGAAAAAAAGCATTATTAAAGAGGATTACAATGTACCAATAAAACTTTTAATAAATAATTAAGATTATAGTTCTAGACTTTTATGAACCTAATTAAAATAGCCTCAAAATGTATTAATATGTATTTGCAAATTCATCCATACAGTGGGAGATTTATAAAATATGGAGTTTTGAAAAGGTAATATATTCACAGTTTAAAACTCAGAAAACATAAAAAGGCTAAAGATTCCCAGTTAAAAGATTCCCCAGTTTTCGTCCTTCATTTGCTTACTTTCTACCTCTTTCCCCAGGCCACAACAATGTAACCCTTGTCTTAATTTCCTTATTACCCTAAGTTTCTTATATTTTTATATTTGTATATAATAGCAAATATAAAAAATTTTGTAGTGTGTTTACACACACTATTCTGCATCTTGTTTATTTTCACTTATTAGGTGTTAAGGTCTTTCCATGTTGAATCAGGACCTCCTCATTCATTGTTACTATGACATTATATCCCACTGTATGGACAGAGTTTATTTAACCACTCCCCTATTGATGGGCATTTGGGTTGTTTCTGGTGTTTTCATATCACAAACACTGCTTCCAAGATTAACCTTTATATCCATTACTTTGCATGTGGGTAAATTACCCAAAGAAGAGTTGTTAAGTCAGAAGTATGTATATACTTTTGTGATAGCTGTTGCCAAATATTTCTCTGTGGGGGCTATTCTAATGTTCACTCTCATCAGTGTAGAGTATCTGCTTCCCCACATGCCAGAATGTCACCAAATTCTAGATGTTTTTGTCAGTATGGTAGGTGATAACTGGTATTCTTAATGGCATCTTAAGTTTTTTCTTATTATAGTGAGTCTGAGCACTTTTTCATACATTTAGAGCCATTTTTGTTTTCTCTTTTAATTCTCTGTTCCTGGTCTTTGCCCATTTTTCTATGGCAGTGTTATTCTTGAGCTTGGCTTGTAGCAGTTCACAAAAGCCAGTTGTTAAATTTTTAGGATTTTGTAAGATTTCTAAAATCATGTTCCATAGCCTCAAATGGACCATGGCGGCAATAGTTGCACCATGGTAATTGGAAAACATTGCAAATCAGTAGGGCATCCTTCCACTTATTCTTAAACCAGCATGCCACTGGTTGTAGGACTTATTATTAATTCTTAGGACCCCTTTATATATTAAGGAAATGAGCCCTTTGTGATACAAATTGCAAAAAAATTTTCCTAATTTCACTTTTTCTTGAATTTGCTCATGGTTTTCTTTTTTTTGACATGCTTGGATTTAAAAAATATTAAGTAATTTATTGATTTATTAATTCCTGCCACTGGGGATCGATCCTGGGGTTTCATACATGCTAAGCAAGTGCTCTACCACTCAGCTACACCTTCAGCCCTCAGTCTTTTTTTACTTCTTTTAGATCATAGAAAGTTTTTCACTGTGTTACAAAGAAGTATTTCCATGTGTCCTTTTAGAACATTTATGGTTTCACAAATTTCACATTTTTAAAAAAATTTTTTTTAGTTGTAGATGGACACAATGCCTTTATTTAATTTATTTGTTTTTATGCAGTGCCGAGGATCAAACCCAGTTCCTCACATGTGCTTGGCAAGCGCTCTACCGCTGAGCTACAGCCCCAGCCCTTGCATTTTAATCTTAGGTCCATTTGCTGTTTTTAATGACACAAAGTGTGAAATATGATCCCATTCATTTTTCCAAAGCAAAACATTATCAAATGAAATTCATAGTGTATATTTTTTAAATATAGGACAATGTGCTGAACTCCTATCAGGTTTTGTGGGGTGAAGCAAAAACAAAGCTTAGAGGGAAATTCATAGTCTTAAATTTATATTAGAAGAGACTAATTTAGGAGTTGATTTTCAGTCTATTAGAAAAGCAAACAAAGCCAACCCAGAGAAGGGTAGGAAGAAAATAATGAAGATAAGAGTAAAAACTAATAAAATAGAAAATAAACACTCAGTGGCGAGGGTTAAGAAACATAAAATTCAATTCTTTAAAAACTAATAAAATTTGCAAACTTTGGGAAATGTCAATTGAAGCAGAAAAAAGGTACAAGTTAACTATGAAGATAAAGTAGTTGAAAATGTGGATCAGTAGGAGACAACTTATTTTGATAATTTAAAAAATAATTATAGACAAATTTCAGGAAAACCCAAAACTGTTTTATTAAGACAAACAATTTGAGTAGTTGTAAGACTACATTAAGTAGTTTAATCTGTTAAAACTTGTAGGGAGAGGGAGCATGGGAGGAATAGACAAACTCTAGATAGGGCAGAGGGGAGGGAAGAGGGGAAGGGAAGGGGCAGGGGGTTAGCAAGGATGGTGGAATGTGATGGACATCATTATCCAAAGTACATGTATGAAGACATGAATTGGTGTGAACATAATTTATATACAGATATGAAAAATTATGTTCTTTATGTATAATAAGAATTGTGATGTATTCCACTGTCATGCGTTTAAAAAATAAAAGCAATTTTTAAAAAATCTGTTAAAACTCTCTTACCCTACACCTCCCAAAAAAGAAATGGGGAGAGGAGAGGCAGAAATTGGGCAGCAGGTACCAAACGTAGCCAGATAAGAGGAAGAATTTTTAGTGTTCTACAGCACAATAAGGAGTCCATAGTTTAACAATTTGTTATACATTTTAGAAAGACCTAAAAGAGGAATTCAGAGGTTCCCAATGTGAAGACATGGTTAAAGTTTAATTGGCGAGAAATGATAATTACCTTAGTTTGATCATTACACATTGTATGAATGTATCAAATTATTCCATAAATATATACAATTAGTTATGTGGTAAATTTTTTTTTAAAAAAATAGATACTTACCATGCTCACTCAGATGGTTATATATACAAGTTGTCTCAGGTGTTGAAAAATTTCAATCTTAAGAAAAAGTCAGAACAGAAAAGGAAGGAACTCCTCTCACTGGTTTAACCTTAGCATTAGAGTGCAATGCACATGTTCTCTGTGGTGTGTGTGTATGACATGACCACATGGTATATCCCAGGTTTAGTTCACATTCAGTTAAAAAGCTCTTATTTCAGAAGATGCAGAGCATCAGAAACTTCAAAGAACATTTATGACAAAAGTTCTTAGCTACTAGCATAGAAATGAATATTCTTAACCTGTTAAGATTGTATATACTGTGACATTCCAGATATTTTTTTTTCATACTATTGGGGTGCTCTACCACTGAGCTATATCCCCAGCAAGCCAAGCCCCACCACCTCACTTTTCTTTTCTTTCTTTCTTTTTCTTTTTTTTTGAGACAGGGTCAAGGTCTTACCAAGTTGTTAAGACTGTCCTCAAATTTGTGATCCTCCTGCCCTTGTCTCCTGAGTCACTGGCATTATAGTATGCCACCATGCCTGGCTCAGAATTGGTTTTAAATCTGGTTTTGAGTCACCAATGCCTGTCTACCCTCACTGCTTTTATTTAGCATAGTGATACATGACTAAGATAGCCAATTAACGGCAAAAAAATTAAATGATTTGAAGGGGAGCAGTTGGCGTCTTATTTGTAGATAACATTCTGTTTTGATACCTCCAAATAGTCTATATACAAGTCAGTGGAATTGGTAAAAGTTTAACAGCATTCCTAGGGTTAAGATAAAAATATAATGATTAATTACATTTTAATATGTCAATAATAGTTATAAATTATAATTTAATAAAATATACTGTGTAGAATTTTTTAAAAAGCACCTGTGACGAGTATAAAAATTGAGTCAGACCTTTGGAAAAGACGACAAAAGTAGCATTGTAAGTCAATAAGAAGAGTTAAGTAAATTTAATCTGAGTATTGGTCAGTGGTATGGAAAGAATCCCCTTAGTGTCCTCACAAATACAGTATTGAACAAAAGCAGTGCATTTTAGGGAAAAATATAACTTGTGATACAATTTAAATTTTAAATTATGCAAAACAGTGCCATGTATTTTCTTGGCTATGGACGTATATTTATTTACAAAATAAGAAATGCAAGGAAATGCTGGACAGTTGAGTTTGTTTAAGATCATGTTACCAAATGTTGGAGGAAGACATAAGATTTAAGGGGGTAGCAAAGAGGGTTTTTGTTTTTAAGCCAAATGGGCTACATGTTCAGTTTAAAAATCTTTTTGTAATTTAAAATAAGAAATCAGACTCAGTAATTTCTCCATGTTCATTTTGTCTGACTGCTTTGGTGACTTAGGAGAATCAAAGGACCTCATTCATAGGCCAGCTGACCTGCCAGGCACAGGTATCCAAACCAGTCGTGTGACATAAACAAATCTTCTTTGTTTCTCTGTTTTCTCATCTTAAAATGGCAAGTTTCTTCTTGCGTTGTGAAGATTCCAAGTAGACATATAGTTTCTAATAGGGTAAACAATATAACAATTTTCATGTAGATTCTATAATTTTTGTATATCTTTCCTTAAATTTCTACTATAAGTGATTGATTGCAGGGGTTTTTTTGTTTTGTTTTTAATGTTGTGCTTTCTTTATTATTCCTTACCTTTCTTTCTTGAGCCTCCTTCAGGCCTTGGGATTGTTTTTCTGCATTTCTTTTCTGCAAGCTTTGCCAGATGCTGGGGTACATGAAACTTTGAACAATATAAGAAGGCAGAAGAAGTTCACATTAGTTCCTGTTTTCCCTGTCAGACCCAATTCTGATTGGATTGGCAGGAGAGGCATTTTGTGCTCCCTTGAAATCAGAGAAGCCCTGTGGAGAATTTTTGAAAAACTGTCATTCCTGATCATCCTGGTATCACATCTCACTTGGGCGGGGGGTGGGGGGGGGAGACTTGGTTCAAAAAAAGCCCCTGCTTCCTGCATAGTTGACTCCATCAGTGCCCTTTGCTCATGATGTAGGTTCTTTTCTCAAGTAGGTCACACTTGCTGAAAATGTTACGGAAACATGTTTTGTTATGTCCTCCAGGTCGCATCCGCACAAGACGACAAAGCTCCGGGAGTGCCACCAATGTTGCTTCAACACCTTCTGACAGTCGGGGCCGCAGTCGTGCTAAAGTGGTTTCACAGTCTCAGCGTAAGATTACCTTAGTTTCCTTCTTGATAACCTTAGTTTCATTCAACAGCATGTTCTGCAGTTGAGCAGTTCACAGTATTTGAACTGATTTCAAGGGAAAGATGCACTTTTGTGGCTCTAAGATACTGTGGTAATCACATTATTTCTTGGTAAGCTTACAAAATGGATTATTCCAGTCATAATCTGGTGTCCTTTCCAGGTGACTTAAACCTTGTGCTGTTTAAGCATTAAAGTATACTCTCTTCCCATTCTGAAGTCTCTCAAATTGAAACCTATCTGTTCTGTGACCCATTTTTATTATTGACAAGGAACCCTTCTGTACAGGGCAGAACCTGTACAGAAATTATGAATGCTGAGTTTTTTCCAGGGGTAAATAAGTAAATCCATTAAATGCTCCCCCTTTAACCCTCTGTGCTAACATTTATAGCCTGCACCTGTCTTCTCATCAGTGTGGGCTCTTGCTTTGCCTAGCTGCCCCTGCTCGCTTCCATGATTGCTTTTCTGTATATGTGAAGTCAGTTCATTTGAGAGCTCAGCTAGGAAAGCAGTGTAGCTGGAATGGATTAATTCTCTGATCAGTGTCTGAATCCAACCTTGCTGTCTCACTTTCCTGTTCCATGTAGGCGTGAGTGGTCTGCTGCCTCTGTGCACAAAGAGCGTGCCCCAGGGCAAAGGGAGTGTGGGGAGAAATAATCCCATGAATTTAGATTCTTTTCCATGTCCCTTTTGGCAACTGTGGTCCTCATGTTAAAAAGTTTAGATCTTTTTGCCAAGAATAGTGGAAGGTCAGTCCCATTGCTGCCTCTAGTGAGGCTACAGAATCTTTCTGACATCTGTGGTAAGGTGCAGTACAGTATGCAACAAACACGTGCTTCAGTGTCACACAAACCTGATTCCTTTTATATCCTGGCTCCAGTGGGATGTTGGATGAATGTTTTAACTTGGTGAGCCTTTGTTTCACTGTCTGTAAATGGAGTGGAAACAAAGCCCACCCGCATGGGGCTTTTGTGAGGATTTATTAAGAAATATGAAGCTAGCCTGTGATGGACACTCAGTAAACAGAAACAGGTATTAGAACCATATTGGCTTCAGCCTGAATCAAGTGGCCTTTATCCATGACCAATATGAGGCTTAGGAAAGAAATCTAGGGATGGATTTCTGTGATGGGGAATACTGTAAGGCTAGATAGACTCTGTTAAGCGAAGAAAGCCTTACTTCTCTGGGTTTTCCATTCAGATCTGGGTGTAGGTATTACCCAGAAGCTTCTGCCTTGGCAGCTAGCTGCACCCCAACTCATTCTTGGGTTGAATTTTTGTGATTCCTGGAATGTCCAGCCATGTCCTCATAAACATTGGTCAGATCTTACTGTGAATAACTCTTCTTGACCAGAAATTTTCAAGTCTTGTAATGAAGGTCAATATAAAGAAATTTAGTCCAATAAGAACCATCTTTGCCTTTAACTGTTCAGTGTTATTTCCTTCTGTAGAGATGAAGGTTGAACAGTATTAAGCATTTCTTTTAGTCTGCTGTTCATTGGCATTGGCCTTTGCAGGGTTCCTGCCTCAGCTAGGTCAATACTGTATCCCTCCCTCCCTACTATAGGTTTTAGGAATCCATTTGTTACTTGTGCTTAGGGAGTGGTGAAAATCAAAATTCCTTCTCTAGAGAGACTCAGTGGGGTAGAGCTTTTTAATTCTGTATACTTATCAACATACTGAAGCTGGCCCTAGGGCTCCACTTTAAACCTCTTTAGCTTTATTTTACTTGCCTGACTAACCCACAGGAAGGGAGACCACCAAACAGCAGCATATGGTTAAGCCTGCACCGTAAGCCTATGCGTATAAATTAAATACTTTTAGCAATTATTTCAATAAGAAATCTACATAAATGCACCTATATGTATATGTACATATGTATATAAAACAGAATTGATAGTTCCTGTTTAATACTAAGTACATTTTATTAATATTAGATTTACAGCCCTTAATAATTGGCATATTTTAAATATTTGTGGATTAAAGAAAGTGGTAGAACATGCAGGTGAAATTAGTCAGTTGCAGTTTCTTTCCAATCATCGATACATGTCGAATACTTACTCTGTTGAAGATGATAGTGATACACAAATGAGCAAATTATGCTCACTTCCCTCATATCGCTTAGGCCTGGAGAGGGAGATGTTCTCTGGAAAGGTGAGATGCTGATCTTATTCTTTTCCACAACTCTTGACCCTAACACTGTGCCTGGCAGGCACATTGTAGACTAATGTTTTATGAACAGTTGTGAAGTAAATGCTAATATAGTATGATGAGTATAAAATAGACACATGTACATAAGTAGATGAGGAGGAATTAGTCCCAGGAAAAATAGCTATTTTGCTGAAGTGTTTGTTGATGAGACATTTACGTTGTGTTGCATGCTGACCTGCTGTATTGTGTTGTCTTTTAATCCACTTTTGCCTGTCCTTTGGTCTGCTCTCATAATCAAGGATCCAGATCTGCTAACCCTGCTGGTGGTAAGCCATATCTCTTCTTGCCTTTTTTGTTTTTTTGCATTCTCCCTTACCCCGTGTTCTTTGCACAATATTAATTTTTCTTTTTTATGAGCTTAATTAATCTCCTGCATTTTTCTGTATGTTCAAATACTAGAGTTTGAAATGGATTTCTTTTCCTCTTTTACATAGCTTAGCAGTTTATTTATATGCTCAAATTTTATAGGCAAAATTAATAGGTCCTGAGTCAGTTCTTCATGGTAATGTGTATTATTGATTTTTGTGACTTTCACAATCATGTAGTTAAATCATTTTAAAGTGGTTTTTTTTTTGCAAATACTCACCTAGCTGATTCATATGAATGATAGTAGTTTTACTAAATGAAATGTAAATTTTTGAAATATAAATTTTAATATATTTAAAAAATATATATTGCGTGTTGTCTGTGTGTAAAATTTCCAGGTAAGTACTGTTTCAAAGGACCCCCCCCCACCCCGCCCTGCAGACCATTCTGTTTTGGTACATAATAATGTATGCTTTGCATTTTAGAATTTTATTACCTTTCTGCTTAAGGACATGATCCAAGTTAATGATCATTAGGGTGTACACTGGTATAATGCTAAAAATTTTGCTGTTTGACAGAAAATTTTTTCCTACAGGAAATGGTTAGGTTGGTATTTAGCTACTTAGCTATTAGTGAAAATTACCATGTTGCTTATAATTTCCAGTTGTATTGCATATTTTCCAGGAAATATGGTCTATGTGATTTCCACTTTTGCAGATTGTTTTGAAACTTGCATTGAGGCTTAGTATGCAGTTAGTTCTTGTAATATTTATGTCTGGAAAGGTGAAAAGAATATGTTTTATCTGCTGGGATAATGTATATAGGAGGTGTGTGTGTGTGTGCGTGCGCGCGCGCGTGTGTGTGCGTGTGTGTGTGTGCGTGCGTGCGCGCGTACACAGTTGTGGGGTTGCTTAAAGATAAGGAAGCACTCTGAGCAATGCATTGTTAGGTGATTTTGTTGATAAGAGAATATCACTGAGTATGCTTACACAAATTGAGATGGCAACATCACCAGGCCACATAATCAAACAGGACTACTGCTCTGATCTGTCATTGACCAAAACATTGTTACGCAGCATGTGACTGTATATACACGTATACTCAAAACACATACACATAGAATTAAATCTGCTTGCTATGTCAGTTTGTCTGAGAGGGTTGTTAGTCTTTCTTGACATTGTTAGTAATTGACTTTTTCCCTACATTTTAATCTTTTTTATGTTTTATATTTCAAAGCTATATTGTTTGGAGCATGAACGTTTGTAGTTATGACCTTCGTAGAAAGTTATTTTTTTAAATCAGTGTTAAATATCCTTCTCTATCCTTTTTAAATGCTGTACTTTATTCTGTTTTTTCTTTGTTTTTCTGTAGATGTGTTATTTGACTCTTAAAAAACAGCATGTGTTTTTTTGTTTGTTTTTAAATCATTTCAAGAAGCCCTGTCTTTTAGTAGATGAATTTAATCTGGCCACCTTTGTTATGATTACTGAAATGTTTGTGAATGTTTTTAAACCCATGTTTCTAACTATTTCTCCTCCTTTTTTCCCCCTTCCATTTGTTAAATTAATGGCAATTTTTTTTTATCCATTTTTCCTAATTAATGCTTAACAGATTTCTGTTACAGTTATATTTCTGTTCTTCTGGTAGTTACACTTAAATTTTTAACATACTCTGATAGAATAAAAACCCAAAATGATAGGGACAAGGGATATAGTTCAGAGGTAGAACATTTGCCTAACATTTGCCTTCAGTTTTTGAGTCAGAAATTGTGCAACTTTGTAGAATTCCACCAGTAACTCTTCTAAGCATGGATGTGATCTTTTTATGATATTCTTTTATGTGCATACATTTCTTAAAAAGTAGTATTACCACCAACAAAATCTATTTTATATAAAATTCTTTTCATATTTAATCAAAATTGATATATAAAAACTTGATTTTGAAATTGTTGTAATCTATTAGTCAATTTACATCCATCATTCATTTCTGTATTGCTTCATTTTTAGCTGGCAGTCGGTCGAGTTCCCCCGGGAAATTGTTGGGAAGTGGCTATGGTGGACTTGCTGGTGGTTCTTCGAGAGGCCCACCTGTGACACCATCTTCAGAAAAACGAAGCAAGATTCCCAGGAGTCAGGGGTGTAGCCGTGAAACAAGTCCAAACCGAATAGGATTAGGTAAGGATCCTCAAATACCTTGGAACACCATTTCCAGTTTGGTCACAATTTTTATTGTAATCTAATAACTGTGTCTAATGTAAGAAATAGAGATCTATTTTTTAACTCAAGTTATTATTTTGGCTGTGTTGAAAAGACATTTTGATTTGTGCTTTATCCAGGTTATGACACGTTGAAGTGTCAAAACCAAAAAACTCTGTGGGAGTTACTGTTCAAATTGATGTGAAAGAATTTCATCATTATAGATTCGTGTTTTATGTCATTTTGCAAAGCATTGGAATTGGGGAAGTAGGCAGAGGTTTTCCCTCTTTTCACTAATTTCACACTAAATAGCCATTGACCTATATTGACTTTCAAAGCCAGTTTTTAGGGTCCCCATTTATTTTGATTTTTATCTTTAATTTGGTGAAACCTGTGGTCAAGGAATAGGAATAGTTACTTTTGACATGATTTTGTTGAAACCTAAAAGCTAGGAATTGATGAAGATAATATTTATTTTTTGTGTTGTATTTAGTTTCTGTAATTCTATATGAGTCATATGAATTACTTCTGCACTTAAAGATCTTTTATTCTACTAAAATCTAATTTGTGTGCTACATTTTTATATAAAATTAGAAGTCTTTTGTGATAGAATACAAAAAATTTTAAATTTATACTTTTTATCACATCAATATCTGCTTTCTAAGGTAAAAATCTGTTACTATAAAACCAGAGTATCGTATCCTTAAGTCCTGTTGGCTTATCTTTCACATTTATTCATTTATCTTCTCAATAATTTTGACTTGAATATTTATTGTAATGTACTGGGAACTTCATTAGATCCGATAATTAGAAGATAAATGAACTAGATTTAGATTCCGACTGGAGTCTTTGTTATATATTGATAAGAGGTGGAAATGCAAAACTGTATGGCAAATACTAAGACTGTTTATTCTGGGTCCATAAAAAAGGGATGTCTTAGCCTTTATCTACCCCAGATCTCCCAGGTTTCCTGTTAAGGGAGGCTTCCCAGAATAAGTCCTATTGTGAAGTACAGGGTTAACAGGGGAGGGAGGTTAGGGGAAAGAGTTCTAAGGGGAGAGAGATGCAAAAGTGGGAGAGTCAAGCAGAAGGGGGAACCCTGAGCAATTCATTTGACTATGGCCAAGGGGTGTGGAACTGGAGGACAGAAGGACCGGTGGGGTTCAGCTCACAAAGACCCCAGAAGGCCCTCTGAGCTACGAGAAGGCAGGGACAAATATCTAAGAACGCATAGAGTTTGGTTTGAACTCCTATTTCCAAGCAAGGCAAAAGTATTTAGTGGTTTCTTTAATTCTCCATGATGCTGACTTATCTGGGCATGACAGAGCATCATCTCTGAACTGACAAATTTGGGTATTGATGTGTCAGCAACCAGAGAAAAGGCCAAAGCTAGAATACTTCAATTTCTCATCTGATGATGCAATATACCAGTGTTCAGATCTGATTTGGTTTGGAAAATACATTTGATTTTAAATCTAGGTGAGATTTCAGCAGTTCTAATTGCTGAAGTTTAAAGAATGGGTGCAAGCCATACTAGTATTATTGTTTTAAAAATTCTTTTTTGCTTAGGAACTTTTCGTTTTGTGTTTAATTATTAAAGATGGGGCTGGGGATGTGGCTCAAGCGGTAGCGTGCTCGCCTGGCATGCGTGCGGCCCGGGTTCGATCCTCAGCACCACATACAAACAAAGATGTTGTGTCCGCCGAAAACTAAAAAATAAATATTAAAAATTCAAAAAAAAAATTATTAAAGATGCTATTTTTACTTTCTTGAAATTAGGAAGTAATCCAGCTTCCAATATAACTCTAAGATCTGATATTCCAAGGTCTTACTATGATATTCATGTTGTGAATAGTGGAAAAGACAACATTTTATAAACTCTTAAAAGCAGTATTAATAAGCATCAGTAGAATTAAAAAGGAGCTTTGTCTCTTCCACAGAGCTGTTATTTAAAGTATTATATTATTTTGAAGTTGTTTCCTTGATGCTGATTAAGAGGATTAGTGAACAATGAAGCTTTGAGGTCATACATACTGTTCTGGTTAAAGAAGATATTTTATTTAAATTTTTTTCACATTGAGAATACACATATATAAAGAAATACCTGAACAAAATTTTTCTGTCTGCTTATTCCTATAGTACTGTTTAAAGATTCTATTTATAGGGTAGCAGATATATTAGCATTTTTCAGCAATAAATTATTTATCTTTATGATCATTTAGTGTATACTGGATACGTGTGTGTGTCTAAACATTTGGTTTGTTGTACAGCAATTTTAAATACAAATATTCAAAAAAGAGGGATATTTTAAGAATTTTTTTTCACAATCTCCAAAACAATTAATTCAACAATTTTAATGATATCTAAACTAGCTTAGAATTGCAATGATAATGATTTCTAATTCTCTACAAATTATGTTTGGTTCGATTGTACCTTTTTTGTTTGAAATTGTATTTCTTAACTAACTTTTTTTTCTTATTTGTTTTAAAACTGATGCCAAGGTTCTTTTTTGGCATTTAAGATTTCTTAAGCATAATTCCTGTTGGATAACCAAGAAACAAAATAAATCCTTCTATTCTCTTGGCAGGTTATTTCTTCACAAGCTACCTAATCAGTGGTAAAATACATTTGTAAATTGTTTCATTTTTGTGTGTTTTAAAGACAGTGAAGACTTTACAGATAATAAAATGGCATGAATAGCCAGCACCTATAGCAATTTTATCTGGCTGCTTGCCTTTGTTTCCTGTTTATCTATTATGAAGGCTATAAAAGGCACACTTAGCATTTTTATAGCTTACATTCTATGGATATTTATTTAAAGTGTCTTAAGATTTTCTGATTAAAAATATATTGCAGGAATTTAAAAATAATTCATTTCAACTAAGAAATTAGACAATTGTGACATGAAAACACGTAGACCTTGAGATGTTTCAAGTGTTTAACTTCTAGTACTTTTCATTAATCCTTTTATGCTTAGGCTTTGGGTATGAGTTCTTGTTGGATCCTTCCTTAGAAGCTAAAAGTCAGAATTACCATTAAAACACTGTGAAGGGTAAAGTAGAGTATCAGGAAGTGAAAACCAAGCGAGTGGTTTTTTTTAAGGCTTCTTAGTATATTTATGTAAGCAAAAGACTGAAGAGCAACCTGGGAATACTGCTTTTAGAAAGTTCAAGTGGCAAGTATGCTTTCCTTGTTTCTTTCCCTTATGCCTTCTCCATATCTTATTCTTACATAGAACATAGAATGTTCAGTTTAGATACTTATTATTGATCTTTTTTTTTTTTTAAATTTTGGTCACTTTATTATGAGTCTGTAAAAATCATTTATTTATATATTTATTTTAAATCCTCCTTGTAGATTATTAGGCTCTGGAAATAGTTACAAGTTGGTGGGTGATTTTCCTCTTGTGATTTAAAACATTCAAACAATTGGAGTCACTATCAGATGTACTTTAATGAGGTTTGGGGCAACTCTGGGCACACTTCCACAAATTATAAACAGAATTCTCCAAGCTACTACTAGCCATATGACAAAGGAGCCTGTCAGCCCAACTAGGTATGTGAACTCTGGGTTAAATAACAGGAAGGTGGGCCTTGTTAAGTTTACATGTGCAGTTATTTCAGATCCCATCTGTTTATCCCTATTGATTCTCTTTACTGTCTTTATAAACCAGATTCACACCAGAGAGAGTGAAGGTAGGGGTAGAGGATCAGGAAATGAAAACCAGTCAAGTAGCATTTCAAGGCTTCTCAGCATTTGAGAAAGAGAGAACTTTTATTTCCCACTGTTGTAGCATATATATGAACTCAAGGAAAGGGTTGGGATCTGGGTAAAAATATAGAAGTTATCAAGCATGTTAAGAAGAAACAGTTGAGAGGGGCTGGGGTTGCAGTTCAGCAGTAGAGCGCTCACCTAGCATGTGCGAGGCGCTGGGTTCGATCCTCAGCACCACATAAAAATAAATAAATAAAGGTATTGTGTTCAACTACAACTAAAAAATATTAAAAAAAAAATAAAAGAAGAAGAAGAAACAGTTATGAAATGCTCAACTAAGCATGCTTTTACAATCAAAACTATGAATATTGTATTTTTGTGTGGGGGGTGGTAGGAGTGTTACCGGGAATTGAACTCAAGGGCACTTTGAGCCACATCCCCAGCCCTATTTTGTATTTTATTTAGAAACAGGGTTTCTCTGAGTTGCTTAGCATCTTACTTTTGCCGAGTCTGGCTTTGAACTCAGGATCCTCCTGCCTCAGCCTCCCGAACCACTGGGATTATAGGCATGTGCCACTATGCCTGGCTGAATACTGTTTTTATTTTCTGTTTGAATATCTGTTTGGAGTGGATGGTAGATGAAGACAAGATTTTCATATATGCCACTCAGCACAAAACTCAGAAGTATATACATATATGCATTATCTCATAGCTCTCTTTTGTTAAATGATGGGATTCTTTCTTATTTTTGTAAGGGGAGGCTGAGACCTAGAGAGGACAAGTGGCTGGATCAGTAAGTTAGCTTGGACCTGAAGAGGTCTCTTCATAACTCAGATATAGCGTTGGTCATTAGCAGTATTTTTGCTTTGTACATTTTAGGAAATTTCTCTATTAGTCAGGTTGGTAGATGCTTTAGTTTTTTTTTTAAAGTTGTTGATAGACCTTTATTTTATTTATGTATTTATATGTGGTGCTGAGAATCGAACCCAGTGCCTCACACATGCCAGGCAAGTGCCGCTACCTCTGAGCCCCAGCCCCCGTCCCTTTAGTTTTTTTTTTTAAAGGATTTAATTTGGCACCTAGTGCTTTTGCCTCCTCGCAGGAGCTATTTAGAGTGTAATCAAGAATTGTTAATTAAATAGTCACTACTACATGGAGTGAAAATTTGGGGTTCCATGTCACTCTGACAAAATTGAGGAGAGTTTTTAGGGATTTCTAGTGAAATTCCAGTGACACTCTGTTTGCCTAATTGCTCAGATTGCATTCATGTGCCGACCTTTCCTTCTCTGAAAAGTACTAAGTCGTTTACAAACCTTCAGGGTCTTTTCAACCATGCACTGAGCAGCTGAGCACAAGAGGAATTTGACTTCATTTTTCACTTTCATATACTTCACAAAACTTCAGTGAGTTTCAAGATTCTGGTTAGTAGTACATTCTTGTTATAGTTTGTACAATAAATCTTGGCTCTAAAATAATAGGGTGTACTCATTGCAGTATAGATAATGTATTTGTTTTTACATCTGTGGGTCAAGTTTACAGTTTCCCAAACCTCCAGGAAAGCCATTTTTGTGCAGTCTGGAAGTGACAGAGCTCACTAGATGGAAATATGTAGTCTTTGTAAGCTGGTATGTTAGGCATTCCACCTACACACATCAGTATGTGATGTTGTTTTGGAATATATTGTCAGTAATTTATTTCTGTTTTCACAGATTAAATTGAGAAACAAGGGTATCATGGTCTTTCTGAGCTTCAGCCATATTATTATTAGACCTTAGCCAATGCATGCTAATATGTCTTATAATCTCAGTGTTTAAAACATGAGAATAATAAACTTTATCTGTACATAATCATAGTTAGCTGGCCTCAGATCAGTGGAGGGATCTTTCACCTGAATATTGAGATTATCAGTCCACTTGGTGTAGGCTTGGTGTGTAAGACTGGATCGGTGGAGGTGCTTAGAAGGGACTGCAGGCAACTCTATTTGGATTTCTGTAGAAGCAGCACATTTAAAATGTTGGCATCAGAAAATGAAAAGATAGAAGTCTCTTTACTTCTGTTGGCTTAGGTCATTAAGTATGTCTGAAGCACCTACACTCTTACTCAAGTTGGCTATCTCTCCAGTTATACAAGCCTTTTAAGGCTTCTTGTTTAAAGAAGGCCTGGGAGAGGCTAGCCTTCTTTCTTTTAATTGGGTGAGTTTGTGGATTTCAGGGGTTATTAATCCAAATTGAATTGTCTTTTAAGAACCAGATACCTATGAAAACAACTTTGGTGATTTGTCCTCTTGTCGAAGTTTGCCAAAGCCATAAAAACCAAAAGCTTTTGATCTTGTGCTTTAGGAAGCCAGTTTGTTCTTTGGAAAGGTTTCTTTTCATCTTACCTTTAGGTGTAATTCTTCCTTCACACAAAGTTCCCAGCTTTCTGAGGCACTGAGCGTAATTCCATTTATCCAGACTCCCCTTTGTTGGTACAACAATCAGACCTCAGCTCGGATAGATGACCCAGTCCTGGACTCCCAGGGTGGACAATGTCATAATTACATTAACCGAATGTGACTGATGTTTTGTGAGTTTTCTGTCTTCATTAAACTTGTTCACCTTCTCTGAAACCCCTCATGCTGCACGCTAGCACGGAGCAGCCGTATCCCTCGACCCAGCATGAGTCAGGGGTGCAGCCGCGATACCAGCCGTGAGAGCAGCCGAGATACAAGCCCCGCTCGGGGCTTCCCTCCACTCGGTGAGTACACGGAGGCGCTGCCCAGGAGCAGGTTCCTCTCCCTGCTCCTGATGCTTGTCCGAGACACTGCTGGGTGGAATGACCTGCTTCCCTGCTGTCCTGTGATCCTTTCTTCTCTTTCCTCTTCCTTAGTCACCCTTTGTTGTCCCCTCTGCATGCTTGGATTTCAGCAACTCCCAGTTTTCACATACTAGAGGAAAAAAGCACCATTTCACTCTACTGTCGTCATTATAATCACTTGCTACCAGGCAAGCCCCTCCATGTGGCGATTTCCAACATGAGGCAAAAAACTCAAGTTAATCACTGCTTGAAAGTAAAGTTAACCCAAAGTTGATCCTTAGTCATTAAATTTCTACAATTTGCCTTCAGTTTTACTAGACATCAATTTATATATAATGTAGTTCGAGGAAAAAAAGTACAGCCACGATAACATTTAGAAAACTAGATGAGTTTCCTTTTTAGTTTTAATAGTCTTGCCTTTCTCTAAAATAGGCATGTAATATATCATTTTATCCTAGTACAATTTATAGAATTCCCAAAGGAATCTGATCAACACATATTTTATGAAAAGGAATATTTCATATTCTTCAGTAATTATTTTTTTAGTTCTTTGGCATGTTGAATGCTGTATATGTTCCCCTTGATGAACATAGTAGAAAGCATTTTGTAATAATTAGACCTAGACCTAAAATGATTACGTGAAGCATGGACTCCAGCAGTCTGTGATTTTGACTATAGGATTATGCAGCTGATTTTTAAAAATATGTGTCACTCTAGGAGAGGGATGTTAAATCAAAAGCATAAGGTCTTTATATTTGCCTCTGTCTCCTGCTAACATTGTGTACTTCTTCTGATGTCTTTTGTCCCCAATCAGTGTCAGTAATCAAAGTCTAGATGTATGCTTTCATGACCAATGGATCCTTTATGAGGTTCTGAAAAAGAGCAGGTCACAGATGCCACCACTCTAGTCGGCTAGAAGATGATTCCCTTGACGTAGTGATTCCACTTGGTTAGCAGGAGCCCCTGAGTGGGGCACCTTTACCTAGAGCAAGTCAGGTATTCCATAGAAACCTGAAGCATTAGAGCAGAATTCTCAGTGAGACAGGGGTGGCAATGATTTTTTTTTCTTCTGAATGAACTGGTGATTTTTCCTTGTAAATTAAGGCTGTATCTATGCATCCTTGCCCACTATTTGACCTTCCAGATAATCTGTAGATAAATAATTCACTCTGTCCTATTGGTTATATTGTCTTTTAGAAGCAATTAAGCAATTTTATTTTATACATGTGCTGATATTTTTAATATTATCTGTGGAAGCAACCTTTGTAATCTGGCATGTGGTCTGTGGATCAGGCAAGGCATGCTGCATTCTTGAACTCCTGTTGAACACTGAGTAACTCAGTAATGGCATCTGTCTTTCACTCTTTGGGTAAGCAGATCTGCTTGACTGTCTTGATGATAACACAAAATGTTGAAATATATTAGCATCAGCTCATATTTTTTGTGTGGTCCGAGCAATAGGGAATGTCTCTTAAGCTAAATTTTTATACCAAGCCTTTCCCTCCGTTGAGTTAAACTCATACAACAGTGTCCCATGTGTACCTGTGCCATTCAGAGCAGTCAACAGGCATAACACCTTGTGGTTCTGGTCACCCTCTGGGATAGGTGGTACCATCATCAGACTCGAATGGAAACTAAGCCACATTCTCCAGGCCACACAGTGGCTAGAGCCAGCGTTTGAATCCAGGTTTGACTTCAAACCTGCCTTATTTGAAAGTACTTTTGATAACTCGTTTTGTTCCTCAAAAATATATGAAATGATTTTGTAAGGCCTGCAGCGCTTGGCACAGTAGAAAGTGCTCAACAGCTGTTTCTGGGTCAGGGACTTCCAGGCTTAGGACCTGAGAATACAGAGACACATTCCAAAAGGTTGTCCCCAAGGTAACTTATTGCACATTCTCTGTTCATTCTTTTATTCATTCATTTTTAATAACCACTTCCTACTGCTGTTGGAAATTAGATTTGTCAGTGCCCCTTTAGATCAACTTACATGGAAAACCCTTCATAAAGGAAAAAAGGTAACGAATAGTTATGTTTCAGTGAATACATTCATTCCTCATGTCCCCAGGGTATTAATTTCAGTACCCCATGCTGATACCAAATCCAGAAATGCTAGTCAGGCACGGTGGCACATGCCTGTAACCCCAGCAACTCAATATCTGAAGTAGGAGGATGGCACATTTGAGGCCTGCCTCAACAATTTAGCGAGACCCTCAGCAATTTAGGAAGGTCCTGTTTAAAAATAATTTTTTTTTTAAAGGGCTGTAGCTTAGGAGTAAAGTGCCCCTGGGTTCCATCCTCAGTACCATAAATAAATAAATATTTTAAAAATCCACAGATGCTCAAGTCCCTTATATAAAATGGCATAGTATTTGCAAATAATCTACACATCCCCCTTTAAATCTTCTCTAAGTTATTTCTGATACCTAATACAAAGTAAATGCTCTATAAATGATTGTTATACTATATTGCTTAGAGAATAATGACAAGAAAAAAGGTCTGTTTGTGTTTAGGACAGACATTTTTTTTCTTCCCTCACCTGTAGTTGGTTGAGTCCACAGATGTGGAACTGGTGAATAGAGGGCTGGCTGTATACATTGTTTTCGGTTTGCATGATTGTTTTAAAGCATCTTACTGCTGTGAATGTGTATGAATAATGGTTAAAGTGGTAATCGTTGAATGAAATAAAGAACTCTAGAACTCTGCTGTAAATCAGGCTCTGTACATAAGTGGGTCCATCTTGGATGATGTCGGTGGGTGTTCACTGTGAACATGACAAAGGATGCATTGCACAACAAATTCATTATAGAATATTCTGTTGAAATAGAAGCAAAGGACTACTTACTTAGGAAACTACAGATCAGATGTTGCCATTTCCAATTTAAATTATCAAAATACAGTACTGATATACTAATATGATAGATGTGTGGTTTGTTTCAGTCTTAAAAAACATTTTACCAACTTCCATATTTAGGAAAGTGGTAAGTTTATTATATTGTTTTAGAGATTGCCTATTTATTTTTACTTTTGTGAATATTGAGAAAGGAAGGATAGTCTTTTTGTAAGCTGGTAAACATTTTGTTGACCAAATAACCTTTTCTTATAATTGCTACCACATATACCACAGATGTGTACATTCTTATAAAGTAACATGATCTTTAAAAAATAGTGGAAGAATCTGAGATTTTGATATTTTATGACTAAATGTGTTAATGTATACAGAATAGTAATGTGGATGAAAGGTAACTCCTCAGTATGACCTTGTGAAATCTATTAACTTATATGGTCTAATCACCATCACTTTTTTCAGACTAAGGAATGGAAGCATTTTATCTTTGGGTTCTTTTCTTGAGATAATGCAGAACCATATATTTCATGGAACTATAATTAAATACATTAGTGTTTTGAACCAAGTCTCTTATTTCATAATTATTTCTAAAAGCTGTTCTCTTTCCTCACGAGGACAGAGTTTAGTATTTATTTCTTCGGGTTGGTTAATTAATATACTTACTATGATTACTTGCTGATAATATTCTTATTTCTGAATGTACATTGGAGTTGATTCTTAACAGTTACTGCCACCACCATTACTAATTAATGTGACCACCACTGTCGACTCTGTGCCTGGCATGGTTTAAACTAAGTGCTTTATGTGTGATTTCTGTTATCTTCTCAGTAACAACCAAGAGGTAGGTACTGTTATTGGCACCATTTTATGGATGAAGAAACTGAGACCCAAAGAGGTTTAGTATATTGTCTGAGGTGCTATAGCTAGCTATAATCAAACCAGGACTTAAAGGTTATATTTCCAAGCCAGTGCTCAGAAACAGAGTACTGCAACTGCCTTTCCAAGGAAGGTCATTAAACTTAAATACCACAGAATTTCCAGCAGTTAAACAAGTACATTAATTAGGACATTTGTGCAACAGAACAACAAACATTTTGACCAGGGAAAATGGAATTCCAGTTGTTGAACCCCCTTCCTGTGATTTCATTCAATTTCTGTTGAAGGAACATTATGAACTCCCTGCCTTTGTTTTTGGAGCATGGTGGCATATGCATCACATACTGATGACACATCTCGTGAGCTGAGTTAAAAATCCATCTTCCTGCTATCCACTCAGGGGTTTAGACAGTACTTGGAGACTCCTGATGTGCTTCATTTGACACATTTCCATACTGGCTGATAGAGGCTTCATAGCGTGAATCTAAACCTAGAGTCCGAGTTGGAGGATGCATCCATAGTGGGAGGCACCAGCAAGAGTGCCTCTGTTGTGCCTGTGTGTCTCAGAGCTGTGTGAGAGCCAGCAGCTCCCATGGAGTCTGGGGGTTGCCGCTTACTGTCCATTCATATCCAGCACCATTTCTTTTCATGAGAAAATGCGGCCTTGTTGGTAGCAGTCCCTGCCTTTCCTCTGGTTCCTGTGTGTTAATTCTGTGGGTGTTGCCGTTCCTTTTACCTGCAGCCTCTCGACGTCATTCCAGGTCCACTAGTGCTCTCTCCACTGCTGAATCTGTTGGGCAGTCAGGTGAACAAGTGCTAACTGCATGACTCGGCTTCTCCATCTGTTCTAGTTCCACTCCCATGTTAACATTTGTTTTCATCCGTGTCAGCTACCGCTTGGCATGTGTGCACCTCATGTTTGTTTTCCCTGATGTGCTTTCTTTTTTTTAAGTTGTTGAATGTTTATAGTTCTGTTAATAGGCCATAGATGCTTTATTGCCTGTTTGACAGCATCATTTCTCTAGTGTTCATATTTATGTCAAAACAAAGAAATGGGGATGCACGTCTTCCCCTCCTACCACCCCCTTCCCATGAAAACAACCACCCAAAGTGGATGTCACATAGGGCCCCATGGGGACATGGGGTGTGGATATCATCCAACAGCCTTTCATCTCCAAAGCATTCACTTCCCAGTGTAGTGTCAAATGTTAATGTTACTTATTACCGTCAGGTTCCAATTATTTGGAGGTACTGTTCAGTTAACACTGCTTCAAATTATAGCATGCATAGTTTCAAATATATGAAAGTAAGTGTCCTAAAAGTTTTGATGGAAAAATAAGATCAGGATTCAGGTAATTAAATCAGGCCAAAGCTTAACCTTTGCAGCCTGTGGACCCCAAACCTTCCATCTCAGCTCTAACACATCAACTGGCTAGCCAGAGGGGCAAAAAGTAAACATATGGTAGCATCAATTTGCCACACTTAACTGGCCTAATTTTCCTATGCTGAGAGTCTCTGATGACTATTTTTCTCAATTGAGTATTAATTCATGAGCTGTGGATGGTGACAGTGCTTACCAGTTCCCTCAGTCAGTTATTTTCTCTTTAGTTCTATGTATGCAAGGATTTAAAAGCATTCTCCTGATGATTAGGGGCCAGACTGTGGGCACAGCTCTATGCATCCATCCTTTGGACTACTGAGCTTTGTCACAGTGTCAGAGCAGTAGGAATGTAGAGCAGATTTTGGTTTGGTGGAGACAAAAAGTTAGTCATCTTGCTTAGGTCCAGGTAAACATTTCCCCTTAAGATCTGAAGTTCAGGAACTTAGGGTTAGCTTAGTGGTAGAGCACATGCTCAGCATCCACAAGACCCTGGGTTTCATCCCCAGCACCACAGAAAAGAAAGAAAGAAAAAAAATACAAGATCTGCAATTCAAATTATCTGTATTCTATATCAGGTGATCCTAGTCACTGTGTATGGCAAAGCTGTTTGCATCTGGGAAACACAGAATAATTGCATTGTTCTTATAAGTTTTAATTTTGTTTCTGATTTAAAACAAAATGAAACAATATTATCCCTGGAACAAGAATCGCTGGCATGAGATTTACTTTTTTTTAATTTTTAAAATTTTTTTAGACTCTGTTTTATTTAAGTTTTGCTGGGTAATTTTTAAATGGCTTATAACTGAATTACTTTCATTCTGTTACTCATAAATCCCTTACTATCTACCCTTTTTTAATGAAAAAAAAAAGACTTAAAGATTATCTATAAATCTGTAAATCTCAAATTTATACTCATTTCATAATTTAACTAACATAGATAGATATAGAAATGTGATTATTTTGTGGTCTTTTTAGGTTTCATGTGGCACATGAAATCACCTTTGCAACACAATGACTAAGAGGACATTTGGAATGATCAGCAAATGCATTAAAAAAGGGGATAGTATAACATACAATTTTTGTTTCTTTATAAAAATTCATGACTGTATAACTATTGACTAGCTATGTTTAAATTATTTTCCCTTTCTGTTGAAGTAGAAGGTATAACAGCTTGAAATTGACATTTTATAAAAGCTAAATAACATAACAATTTCAAAGTCCATCAGTTTTATAGTGGTGTCTTATTACCAATCTAAAGTTTATGTAAAATCAATATTAGCTCCCCTCTTAATCGATGCTTTATACGAGAATATGGCTAATACAGAAATTTCCCTTGTTGAAACAGTTCACAGGGAAAACACTTTATCTTAAAATTTTTCTTCAAAGTTTTTTGTACATCAGAATTTTAATTAAGAAAGTTTAACAGTAATTAAGAAACTTTATCATTCCCAATGCATCTTTTACACTGATTTCCTCCTATCATAGTCTTAATCTCCAGCACTTCTTAAAGAAGGCTGGTCAACTGACTTACTGGGACTTTAAAAACTAAGGCTTCATATACTGTGATCACTAACAACCTTAGAATAGTTGTTCGAACTGTTAAAAGTTATCTTAAATTCTTTGGATTCTCTCCATTTTGTTTATCTGTATAAAGACTATTATTCAGCTTGGTGCCATGGTGCATGCCTATAATCCCAGCAATTTGGGAGGCTGAAGCAAGCGGATTCCAAGTTCCAGTCCAGCCTGGACAACTTGCCCAGACCCTCTCTCAAAATAGAAAATAAAAAGGGCTGGCGGTATAGCCCAGTATTGCAAAAACAACAAAAAGACTAAGGAAATTTTGCACAGAGATCAATTTAGTACATTCATTTCAAATTTTAACTGTTTACTTCACTCTTTGATCAAATCATGAAGCTTTCTAATTAGTTTGAAGAAACATTAAGGCCATTTGCCTGTAGAGAAAAAGCTTAATAGATTAAAAGATTCAGTTCATAGTCCAGCTCCCTTCTAGAATAAGTTCCCCTCTCTCATGTCTCAAAGTAATAAAATACTAAGGGACAGTTTCCACTATTGAGCTTTGTGGCTCCATAGTATTAAATGCAAACAACTTAACCTCTACTACTGGTAAATAAGTTAATGCAGTTAAAATTGGCTAGGGATTTGTCAGAGCCTCTATCCACTGTGGTGCAAAGAGGCAGGAGCTCCTTGCAAAGAATTGAGAGCAAGTGAATTAAAGTGACATATGTTTTGCTTTTGTTTTCTAAATAGACCGATTTGGGCTGGGCCAGCCAGGAAGAATACCGGGTTCCGTGAATGCCATGCGGGTTTTGAGCACCAGTACAGATCTGGAAGCTGCAGTTGCTGATGCTTTGGTAAGGGGCGCAGTGTGTGCAGAATCTCTTTGAATTATTCATCCACGTTTTTCCCTGTCTTCACAGGAAGTTGCCCCAAATCAGGTTACTAAATCATCTTTGAAACCCTTCAAAATTATATAAACGTTGAACAGATTTACATTACTGTTGTTTTCCTCTTAATCTTTTACATCCACACACATACATGAAAATTGGCCTTCCAAAAAATATTATTATCCAGTATTCCTTACCTGTCTGTGCTCCTCAGTATCAAGGAGATTTTGATGACATCAGACTTCTCAGATGTCATTGAGCTATTTTTTTTTTTTTTTGGGGACCATGGTTTTTTTCCAGCATTTCCTGTTTTCCATCCTGTTGCTTCTGTTGCTTTATAGACCTTGATGGCATAGCCTAAACATAATTATAACACCAGGTAATAGTTTGAGGTTTGAAAATCTTGCATTTATTTCTTTCCCTTACTAGTGGGTCTGTATGATCTGTTTGTTTAAAAAAAAAAAAAAAAACAAAAAAAAACGAGTCAAGTCAATATTTAAGAAAATTTTCCTAAATTTTAATGTTTACTGTTTGAGGGTATGAAATACTGATAGAATATGTTTTTGCTTCATTATAATGTAAAATTAAAAAAAAAAAAAAAACATAAAGTGACCAGAGCTCCTTTAATTTGTGGTTATAGCAAAAGTTCCTTGGTAGAACCTGCTCATGGTCAAGATGCATTTCAGCTGGTGGGAGCACAGTGTCTTGCATATTCCAGTTTATGTGCTCAGAATTCAAAATAGATATTCTTTAGAATCATCTGATCTCTACCCTTGCCTTTGCTATTTTAAGATCTGTTCTTTTGTAGAGAAAAAAAGTACACATAACAGGATCCTGCTTTCCTACCCTGAGTTTTTTAATCCAGCCATGTTCCATCTGACTGACACTTTATAGTCTGCGGCTGTGGAGTTTCCTGCTTTCATCCCTTCCTGTCTCTCCTTCATTTATTCTTGCTCAGTCAGATGATTTCTTGTACAAATGTCTGTGAGCAAGCAGTTTGCTGCTCTCAGAATGCTTTCCTGGTAGACAGATGGCCTGGCCAGCTCTATTCATCACCCTTATATGTAGAACTTTTTTCTGGCAGGTATTGGAGTTCAGGGTAATTGCTCTGGCCATGGCTTTAACTTAAGAGTCAAGAGCTGGAACAGAATTCTATGAAGCTGTTTCTCCTTCCAAATTACAGCATTTAGAATCCATCTTTTATTTGTTCAGAGATCCTAGGAAGTGGAGGTCAGAGGAGTGGGAAACAATGGAAGCTGAAACCCTTACTAAATGGGACTTCCAGTTAAGGCTGAGGACTTTCTTAGTTGTTTAAAGAACTGCATAAGGGACTGTGTGCAAAGTTCTAGGAGGCAGAACAGAGATGGAGAGTTGGAGCTTCGGCATAACTTGACTTGAGCTTTTCACTGAGCCCCAGCTCCCTTTGTACTCAGGCTGCCCTTGTTATTTTCTGTCCACTCTGGTCTCTTCAAGTGACCTGCTTCGGAAGAGCTTAAAGCACAGGAATGGTACTGAATTCCTGCCTACAGAATTAAAACCCCAGGGACAGACGGAAAGTCTCCTAGGAATAGATAGTAGATCAGAAGGCACATTAGAGATGTGCTTCATGGGTATGGGTATGGGAAGAGTTTCAGTAAAGAATTATAGCAAGAGCCAGAAGGTGCTAGGAGAGGTTTAGGAGGTTAGGAAATGCCATTTTGAAAAAAAGCAGTCTTTATTACTACCTGCTTGATGTGAAACGCTTGCTGACCTGTATTTTTAGTTTGCTAAGAAATGTTTTGCTATACGCTTTTGTTGCCAGAACAATCCCCACATATGCTTCTGACATAATTCTCTATGCTTTTTCCCCATCCTTCAATATTTTCCTGCCTACAGCTGTTAGGAGACGCCAGGAGCAAGGTACCAGTGCTTTAACTTTTGTTTACAACTTTATTTTTTTTTCTGTTGCAAGTATATTTCTTTTAGAATCTAGCAAAAGCAGCACAAAATGTAGTAGAAATTTTGGTCTGAGTTCTGATTCTGTTGAATCTGCCAATGCCTTTATAGGGATGGAATCAAATCACTTTTTATGTACGTTTGTGTTAGCATTTATTTTAAAGTCACGCTCTGTTCTGTCTCCTATTAGAATTGCATTATATTAACTCAATCTGTGCCTGTTCTTATATTGTCATTATTTCACAAATGGATTTATTGACATTTTTCTTATTTTAGGACTCTTGTGTGTGAGTGGGATGATCATATAACTTAGCATCCAAAGAAAAATACTTTCAATAGTAAAAAGGGGGTACTATTCATAATTATGCTGGGATGATAGGCAGATGACAAAACAGTCCTGAGCAAATTGGATTCATAAAAATTAGTATTATTAGAAAATTGAATCTATACAGCTTAAACCGGTGACTGTTTTGGTTTCAGAAAAATTTGTATTTTATAATTTTTATCAGTTTTATATAGCTAGTGGGTTTAATGTAGTTTTTTGTTTTCAGAGTAAGAGAAATGAATCAAGCAGATATTGTAGTCTGCTTTAAAAGAAGCCTGTTTTTGTTACAAAACTAAAGTCCTTAATGAAAGTGGCTCAGATAGTTTAAGAATTCTTTTACATAGGATATTTCTGCCACTGGCATTTCAATTTCAGGTTTTCTTAAGGAAATGTCATCACAGAAGTTTGCCCATAGACCATGTTCAAAGCAGCTTGCACGGGGCCCCAGGGGTGCACACACCTGCAGTGTCTTAGGCACTGAGCTGGATTATTCGGCCTAGAATTCCACTGAGTCCTCGAAGCAAGCCTGTGGGATTGGCATAAATATCGTCCTCGCACAGAGTAGGAAACTGAAGGAAAAATCTTCACAGGCTTTCTGAAATCATGCAGCCGTTCAGTGGTAGCACCAGGATTGTAACCCAAGTCTGCCTGGCTGCAAAACCCATACACTGTACACTGTATTAAGAGGCCAAGTCGTGTGTGTCCCAGTGTCCTGTTCCCCCACCACTACCCCCGCTAAGGAGTGTGATACTTATTACCTGTTTTTCCTCCTGGAAGACTGCTTTTCTGTTTTTATTTCCCTGATCTGTAAGCACAGGACAAGTGTGTGTATGTGTGTGTGTGTGTGTGTGTGTGTGTGTGTGTTTCTCCATTTAACTCTGTTATTGTTTTTATTTGATATGACTCATGACCATTTCACCTTTCCATTTCTTCCTTGTTCACCTCCATCCCTCATTGGATCCATCAGAAGAAGCCTGTGAGGAGGAGATACGAGCCATATGGGATGTATTCTGATGACGACGCCAACAGCGATGCCTCAAGTGTTTGCTCCGAGCGCTCCTATGGCTCCAGGAATGGCGGCATTCCCCATTATTTGCGGCAGACTGAGGATGTAGCAGAAGTTCTCAACCACTGTGCAAGTTCAAACTGGTCAGAAAGGAAAGAAGGGCTGCTGGGCTTGCAGAACTTGCTAAAGAGCCAAAGAACACTGAGGTAAGGGCAGGAGACCAGGGTTGAGAGTCATGCCCGAGTCCCCTCTTAACTCATCAGAGACTTAAAGGGGTTTCTGTGTGTGTGTGTGTGTGTGTGTATGTGTGTGTGTTTATTTTTTATTTATTCTAATTTGTTATATTTGACGGTAGAATGCATTACAATTCATATTTCACATATAGAGCACATATCTCTGGTTGTACACAAAATAGAGTCATGCCATTGATGTCTTCATACATGTACTTAGGGTAACGATATCCCATCTCATTCCACTGTCTTTCATACCCCTATGCCCTCTCCCTTCCCCTCCCTTCCCCTCGCCCTATCTAGAGTTCATCTAATACTCCATGCCCCCTCCCAACCCCATTATGAATCAGCCTCCTTATATCAGAGAAAACTTTCAGCATTTAGTTTTTTGGGATTGTCTAACTTCACTTAGCATTATATTCTCCGACTCCATCCATTTACCTGCAAATGCCATGATTTATTTTCTTTTATTGCTGAGTAATATTACATTGTGTATATATACCACATTTTCTTTATCCATTCATCTACTGAAGGGCATCTAAGTTGGTTCCACAGTTTAGCTATTGTGAATCGTGCTGCTATAAACTTTGATGTGGATATGTCCCTGTAGTATACTGTTTTTAAGTTCTTAAAGGGGTTTCTTGTCATTTAAGGTGTCCTTACAAAGTTCCATGTATTGATGCTCAAAAGTAAGACCCATCCTTGCCATTCGGAGTCTTCAAAATATCTGGCACATATTCTATAATTGATTAGGCTTATGAAACATTTATTTCCCTTAAGGTTCATATTTTTTTATTTCATGTTGTTATTGAGAAATCTGGGTATAGTTTACAATTCAGGTGAACAATGAAACAACTCTGCAAATTAGTATGTTGTATTCCTCTTCAAGGTTCAGGATAAAATGTCTCAGTCTAAAATTTTCAATACTTATAAGCATATAGTAGCTTATAAATATGCAGAGTAAACAGATGATAAAACAGAGCCCTTCAAATCAACAGCGTTATTTTTTGAACATTTTTCTTTTTTGCTTTGTTTACATATTTTATAAATTTTTTAAAATAAGCACGTATTATATAACATCAAAAAGGTATGCATTTATACCGTATTTGGGCCCCATTGGTACACTGTGATTTTATGTCTCTCTAAAGAAGTAATGAGAAATGCTGTTTACTAAATATGGCAGTGTTACTATGTCACCGAGTATAAGATGAATTTCAATTATGGAGATGTTAAAACACGGGAATTGAGAAAAGGACAAGTGAACCCATGAAATTCAATGTACTATATCTTCTGGATTTTTTTTTTTAAAGATAAGTATTGAGACTGGCTATGTTGTGACCTTGGGTGAGGCTCATCCTGGGCTCTTTGATGAGCCCTGGCTGATGAGTGGCTGTTCCCTCCTCCGGGTGGCTCTTCATCTGCTTCCACCTTCCTGTACTGACACCTGCCCACGTTATACCGTCTGTCCTTAAAGATGGTGTGAGAGGATCTGTCATATACCTTCTGAAATGCAGGCTTCTGATGACACTCCGTGATCTGTCAAAAATAAAATGAGGATGATTTTTCTTCCAGAATTTATTTTTTCCTGCTGATTCTATTTTTTGGATTCCTAGGGTTCACTAAGTACCCATTAAATAATCTCTAGAAATCAGCATTCACTTTAGGTTGTACTTTTAACAGTACTAAAGGGTCATTGAGCCAACTTTCTCATCTGTGTAAGGATGGATGATAATTTGAGGAAGAGAGGATCCTCTTTTCAGCTTCAGAGTAAAAAAAAAGGTAGTAGTGCAATCAGGGATCAGAAAAGGTAAAGAACACCAGCGTGCCTGAGGGTTTGCTGTGTCCCTGGCACAGTAGTAGGTGCCATGTGTTATCTTCCCAGCAGCCTTGTGACATACTGCATATCCTGTTTGACTGAGAAGAGGCCAGAGCTTTAAAGAGAAGGATTAAAGATATCATTGTCCTTTGTAGTCGAATCAAGGTTCCAGGTCTATGTGACCCTGAAACACATGCTTCTTTTCTAATTTATTGCATACCCTTTCAGCTGTCGCAGATGGAAAAGAGCCCTGGGTCGAGTTGAAGGGGGTTTGGCTCATGCTTTGTCACTTTCTGTGAGCTTGGGAATATCATGCTCCAAGTGTCAGTTTCCTCACCTTAAAATGAGAGTGAATCTATGCCTTTAGCTTCATGAATTAAATAAGATATTTATTTGTGGAAAATTCTGTTGCATAAATATAGATTAGGTAAAGCTGCGTAGTTGACAGAAATAAAGTTATTTTCTCCTCTTTTTTTTAATTGGTGTATGAGAAATGTAAAGAATAGTGATATATTTTATATATGTATAAAATTGTGGTGTATTTGTATATGCACATAACATAATTTGGTCAATTTTATTGTCCATTACTTCTTCTTTCCCTCCCCTCTTCCCTACCCCTATTCTTCTTCCTCTGTTCTACTGGTCTGTTTTCCACTCATTTATTTATTTTTAATTGATGTTTTATAAATATACATACAGGTAGAATTCACTGTAGTGTATTCATATATGCACACGGCACAATTTTGTCAAGTTCATTCATTGCCTCCTCCCTCCAGTTCAGTCTCCTTCTATTCCACTAATCTTCCTCTGTCTTTATAATATTTGAAAACCACCCCCCACAACATTTTCCCCCCTTACTTTGCTCTAGCTTTCACGTATGAGAGAAAGCATTTGGCCTTTGATTTTTCTGAATCTGACTTATTTCACTTAGAATGATGATCTTCAGTTCTGTTCATTTACTAGCAAATGCTATAATTTCATTCTAATTTATGGCTTAGTAAAACTCCGTTGTGTACATATACCACATTTTCTTTATCTGTTCATGAATGGGCACCTGGACTGGTTCCATAACTTGACTATTATAAGTTGTGCTGCTGTAAACATTGATGTGGCTGTATCACCATAGTATGCTGATTTTAGTTTGTATAAGCACCAAGGGGTGGGATAGCTGGGTCATATGGTTTTAAAGTATATCCATACTGCTTTCCAGCATGATTATACTAATTTGCAGTCTTACCACTAGTGCATGAGTGTGCCTTTTTCTCCACCAGAATTTATTATTTGTATTCTTGGTAATTGCCATTCTGACTGAAGTGAGATGAAATCTCACTATAATTTTGATTAACATTTCCCTGAGTGCTGGAGATGTTGAACATTTTTGCATGTATATGTTAGCCATTTGTGTTTCTTTTGAGAAATATCTGTTTAATTCTTTTTCCATTTGTTGATCGTGATTTTGTTGTTGATGTTGTAGTTGTTGAGTTTTTGTTGTTATTGTTGTTCTTGACATTGAGCTTTTTAAACTCTTATATTCTGGTTATTAATCCCCTGTCAGAGGAGCAGCTGGTAAAGATTTTCTCCCATTCTGTAGGCTCTCTCTTCATATTCTTAATCATTTTCTTTGCTGTGCAGAACTTTTTAATTTGATGCTGTCCCACCTACTGATTCTTGGTTTTATTTCTTGAGCTTTAGGAGTCTTGTTAAAGAAATCGGTACCTGTGCCTGTGAATTAGAGTGTTGACCCTCTTTTCTTCTAACCAGTTACAAAGTTTCTGATCTAATTCCTCTAAGTTTTTGATCCACTTTGATTTGACTTCTATCCAGGGTGAGGGCTAGAGGTAGTTAAAAAGGCTGTCGTTTCTCCAACACATATTTTTGGCACCTTTGTCAACTATCAGATGACTTAGCTACGTGGGTTTGTCTCTCTGTCTTCTTTTCTGTTCCCATGATCTTCGTGTCTGTTTTGAAGGTGATACTATGCCGTTTTTGTTACTGTAGCTCTGTAGTAGAATTTGAGATTAGGTACTGTGATGCCTCCTGCTTTGCTTTTCTTGGATAAGATTGTTTTGGCTATTCTGGGTCTTTTATTCTTCCAAATGACTTTCCAGTTCTGCGAAGAATGTCATTGGTATTTTGATGGAGATTCCATTGAATCTGTGTTTTTGGTAAGATGGCCATTTTGACAATATTAATTCTGCCTATCCAGGAACATGGGAGGTCTTTCCATCTTCGAAGGTCTTCATTTTCTTCAGCATTCTATAGTTTTCATTGTAGATGTCTTTCACCTCCTGTGTTAGATTAATTCCCCAAGTTTGTTTATTTTTTGAGGTTATTGTGAATGAGATGGTCTTCCTGATTTCTCTCTCAGCAGACTCTGTATTGGAGCATGGGAAAGCTATTGCTTTGTGAATGTATCCTGCTGAATTTATCAGCTCTAGAAATCTCTGTTTGAGTTTTTGGGGTCTTCTTGATATAGGGTAATGTCATCAACCAACAAAAATAATTTGATTTCTTTTTCTGTTTGTATCCCTTTAATTTCCTTCTCTTGCCTTATTGCTCTGGCTAGAATTCCAAGAACTATATTGCAATAAAGTGGTGAGGGTGGACATCCTTGTCTTATTTCTGATTTTAGAGGAAATGCTTTCAGTTTTTCTGCTTGGTATGATGTTGGCTTTGGGTTTGTTATATATAATGTTGAGGTAAATTCCTTCTCCAGTGTTTTTAACATGAATGGGTACTGGATTTTATCAAAATCCTTTTCTATATCTATTGAGGTGTTCATGTGATTCTTGTCTTTAATTCTGTTTATGTGGTGAATTACATTTGTTGATTTACGTAGTTTGAACCAGTCTCGTATCCCTGGGATGAAACCCACTTGATCATGTTGTACTATCTTCTTAATGTGTTTGTGAATGTGGTTTGCTAATATTGTATTAAGGATTTTTGCATTTATGTTCTTCAGGGAGATTGGTCTATAGTTTTCTTTCCTTCCTGTGTCTTTGTCTGGTTTTGATATTTGGATCATATTGGCTTCCTAGAATGTATTTGGGAGAATAATAGAATAATTTGAGGAAAACTGGTCTAAGTTATTCTTTTAAGGTCTGGTTGATAAAGAATCCATATGGCCCTGGGGTTTTCTTTGTTGGAAGACTTTTAATTGCTTTTTCGATTTTATACCTTGATATTGGTCTATTTTAGGTTTTCTATATTTTCCTCTTTCAATTTGGACAGGTCATATGTATATAGAAATTTATCAATGTCTTCCGGAATTTCTAGTTTATTGGAATATAAGTTTTCAAAACAATTTCCAATGATCCTCTGGATTTCAGAAGTATCTATGGTGGTATCTCCTTTTGCATCTCTAATGTTGTTAATTTGGGTTTTCTCTCTCTGTTGATTAGTTTGGCTAGGAGTTTATCAATCTTGTTTATCTTTTCAAAGAACTAACTCTTTGTTGCATTGATACTTTGTATTTTTTATTCTCAATTTTATTAATTTCATCTTTGATCTTTTTGCATCTTCTACTGATTTTGGCATTAATCTTCTTTTTCTCAGGCTTTGAAGTATAGCATTAGCTTATTTGTTTGGATTTTTTATGGTAATCAGTGCTATAAAACGTTCCTCTTATAACTGCCTTCATATTGTGCAAGAGATTTTGATATGTCATATCTCTGTTCTCATTTTTTTCTAAGAAGTTCTTGCTTTCTCTTCTTGTTTCTTCTATGATCCATTCTTCATTTAAAAGAATATTGTTCACTCACTGTGTTTATGTGGTTTCTGTGAATTTTCTTGCTGTTGATTTCTAGTTTTATTTCATTATGACCTGATCATATGCACAGGATTATGTCAGTTTGTTTATATTTGCTAAGACTTATCTAATGATCTGTAATATGGTCTATTTTGGGAAAGATTCCATGAGCTGCTGAGAAGAAAGTGAATTTAGTTGTTTGGGGTAAAATATTTTGTAGATGTCTGTTAGGTCCATGTGGTATATAGTATTATTTATGTCAGAATTATCTTATTGACTTTATGTTTGGATGACCTGTCTATTGGTGATAGGGGTGTGTTGAAATCACCCAGTATTATTGGATTAGGTTCTATTAGGATCCAAAGGATTTTTAAAAGCAAACTATAATTGAAGTGATGACTTTTTACATTTTAAATTAATTTATTTCTATTTTATTTCCTCTAGTCGAGTAGAATTGAAGAGATTGTGTGAGATCTTCACCCGAATGTTTGCTGACCCTCATAGCAAGGTAAATCTAGGATCAGACTTATATTTCCATCTGCATGTGTGTGAGAGCTGTGTAAAATACCCAAGAATGAAAGAGAAATCCCCAGTGAGTTTCAGCCTTACAAATTTAACACCCATTTCTGCAATAGCATGTGTTTTGTCTCTCAAAAATGGAATTTTTAACCAAGCATGGTGGTGCACACCTGTAATCCCAGCTGCTGGGGAGGCTGAAATCTAAGAATCCCAAGTTTGAGGCCAGCTGGACAAATTAGTGAAATCTTATTATGTCAAAATAAAAAGAGTTGGAGATACATAGCTCAGAGACAAAGCACACCTGGGTTTAGTCTGGGACTGTGGCTCAGTGGCAGAGTAGTTGCCTAGCTTGTATGAGGCATTGGGTTCAATCCTTAGCACTACATAAAAATAAACAAAATAAGGCATTCTGTCCATCTACAACTACAGAAAAAATTAAAAACTAAAACACCCTGGGTTCAATACCCAGTACTGCAAAATAAAAAATAAAAAGGAATTCTTCAGAACGTAAATGTTCATAAATTTCAAGCTTCAAGTGAAAGCTTTCATGGAAAGAGACTCAGATAATAGTATTTCATTCATTCAACAAACATTTTAATTTTTGTGTTCCTCTTTTAGCTAAATAGTGGGCCAAGTGCTAGATTAGAAGATTGTATAATATAGTGCATTTTTTTAAAGTTGTTGTAGTGAAAAAAATATGTATGTAATTATTTTTGTAAACTTTAGTATTTGTTCTCATAGGACAAGGTAGAAAATGGAAGTATTTATTGAATAGATTCATTGGAAAACCGGGTTATATTTCCAAATAGAATATCACTTTCCCAAGAACTTGCTATATGGTGGTCACCATTAGCTGAGGCCCCCACCTCCTGGGGGCCAAAAGAAACACTGGGCCCTTTTGACAAGAGAGTGCCTGCATGACTGTGGGACAGGGCCCATTCTAGGGGAAATGCAGAGAGAGGGACACTTTATAAAATTACTTAGAGTCTAGATTTTAAATAAATATCATTGTTTGGAAGGAAGCCTTTAAAGGCTATTAGATGTGTTCAGAGGAAGAAGATGGAAAGATGAAGATACAGGGAAAGTTCAAAAGTGGATAAAGGATGAAACTAAAGTATAGATATTTATGGAACTCTAAACCAGCAGAAGCAGATCTTAAATGCTGACTTGCAGGATTAACCATATTACACTATAGTTTCCCTAGTAAAAAAAATGGTCTCTTCTAATTCTTGCTGGGAAAAGGCAGCCTATGATACTGTGAAATTCCAGCCAGCTGTATTTCGTCTTCTTTTTCTATCCTTACTTCCTCATAGGAATTGTCCTTAAAGTAGCATCCACCCACCCACACACTCATCCATCCAATCATTTGGTATTTACTGAATACCTGCTATGATAAGCCAGAGATACAGAAAAACCAGATAAGGCCCCTTGCCTTTTGTTCACAAGACTGAAAGGGAATGAATACAGGGTGATGCTCCACCTCTATGCCCCTGCAAAAATCTCCCGGAAAACCTTCACAACAAGGATAATATTAACAATGTCAATAAAACCCAAAAGAGGTCAAGTTTAGAGGCCATATAGATATTCAAAGATATAATCTTTGCACACTTTTCTCTAAGGTAATGTTAAAAGCAATAAAAGTTAAAGCATAAGCATAATACATTTCGTAAGAATTATACCATAAGGGATATTAGATGGTTTTGAACATTGATGAAATTTCTGTTACCTGTTACCTCTAGATTGCTGATTCAGAAGCAGAATGTGAGGATAAAGAAGGAAATTTGTTATCATCAGAAGGCTCTTGTCCAGTGAGTTTGGAGGTCTCAGTTTAGTTGATATTTATTAGCTGTCTGTGAGAGAAGCCAGGAATCCCACAGCCAGGGCCACTGGCTTTTTTTTTTCCTGAGCTGACTCACTGGAGACCCCTGGTGGTGAACAGTTGCTGCACTAGAAACGAGGAGGTGTGTGATTGGTGGGTTGTCCCAGTAGAGCAAGGCTCACTGAATAGGTAGGGAAACACGGTGCTACTAATCTCTCTGAAATTGGTTCACAGATATTCCACTGTGGACTGTTTCACCTTAGATATCTGTGATAATTACACAGCAGTACAAGAATTACATGAAGTGTCATTATCATTTATTATAATATTTTATTCATAATATCTGAAATTGGCATACTTCAAAAGAGCTGATTAAGATGAAAGGCAATAGCTACACAATAGGGAATGGCTTTTTTTTTTTTTTGTATCTTATACTATACCATGAATACTCAATAATGAGCAAGAATAGTATAGAATTAGGACAGTTGAGTTTTTTTTTTTTTCTCTCTCTCTCTCTCTTTTTTTAAAGCCTCTAGGATTAAACTCAGGAAAATTCATTCCTCTTTGTACTAACTTTTATAGGCTAATATTGAGGGAGGAGCAAGTATTTTATCAGTTTGTAGCTTTTTCAGGATTTTTAAAGAAACTGCATGAAAATGATATTCACTGTGACTAACATGGAATTTGTTTTGTTGCATGGCCTGGTTTGCGGTGGAATTCACAACAGAGAGTAAGTGTCAGTCCTTTTTCCTTTCTCCATTTTCCACAATGCATTTGCCTTTGCAATATGAGCGGTTGTTAACAGTGTTCACATAAATGACGAGAGTCTGGGTAAAATAGCATGGGCCTTTTTAATGCTTTCTACTCTTTGGAGAAAATCATGAATCAGACATGTGAAATGCTTGGTTTTCATTTGTGTTCAGGTTTTCAGTATGTTCTTGGAGACTCTAGTGGATTTTATAATAATTCATAAGGATGACTTGCAAGACTGGCTTTTTGTCCTTCTCACACAATTACTTAAGAAAATGGGAGCAGATTTACTTGGCTCTGTTCAAGCAAAAGTTCAGAAGGCCCTAGATGTCACAAGGTGAGTGTCAAGGGGCTCAGCCATGTTGTTACAAGTCTCGACTGTGATTTCTTGGCAACGTCTTCTGTTACTCATGGTCTTTGTCACCCACTCAAATCTCTTCTCTCTTGCTCAGTTCTCAAGTTCTCTTGTTGACTTTTGTCGACATGTCCCAACAGTTCAGGAGATGAAATACCCATATCTTCCTTGACTTGGCATTGTATTTTGTGAATGCCTCAGACACATGTAAAACTTTGAGAATTATTATCTTTCCTGTATAAAATATTTAAAGAGAATGTTTAGAATATACATATCTTTCTGAAGTTCTTAGTATTCTCAATACCAATTTATTTTAAGTCACATTGGAAATTTATCAATGTATGATGTTGAGATGTTGTTGGTTCAGAAACTGTCTTTAAATTGACTGGTTCCTGGATAAACATTACAACAGTTGTAAGCCTTGTAGCTGTTATGAAGAAAGAGAAGCTACAAGGCTCAGAAAAAATTAAAAACTATGTTCACAAGCCTCTTCTCCCTTGTCTGTGCCATTATAGATCTTCAGTATAAAGAGTTAGAATTAAGTGTTCTCAGAAGACACTTTGCAATAATGTTGGCATTGTCATCTGGTGGGAAATGGAGAGAGATGTATCAGATTAATGAATCTTTTAGTAAGAACAGATGAGCCAGATGTGGTACACACCTGTAATCCCAGTGATTTGGTAGGCTAAGGCAGGAGGATCACAGATTCGAGGCCAGCTTAATGAGACTTTTGTCTCAAAAACATAAGTACAGGGCTGGGGATATAGTTCAGTTGGTAGAGTGCTTGTCTCACATGCACAAGGCCCTGGGTTCAATCCCCAGCATCACACGCATACATACATACATGCACACAAATAAAAAAGGACTGGACTGGTAGTATAGCTTGGTGGTAAAGTGTCCCTAGGTTCAATTCCTAATGCTAAAATAAAAATGAGTGAATGAATAAATGAATGGATAGACAGAACTGCGCATGGGGATGCATGCCTGTAATCTCAGTGACTCGGGAAGCTAAGGCAAGAGGATCTCAAGTTCAGGGCCAACCTCAGCAACTGTGAGACCTTTATCAACTTATCAAGATGCTGTCTTAAAAACTAAAAAGGACTAAAGTTGTAGCTCAGTGGTAAAGCACCAAAGAAACAAATAAATGTAAAAATAAATAAATGAATGACTCCTGGATCACTCAGAAAATTATCATCAAAGCAGTAACTTTTTTTTTTTTTTTTTAATTGGTGGTGGTGCTGGGGATTGAACCTAGGGCTTTGTACATGCAAGGCAAGCACTCTACCAACTGAGCTTATCCCCAGCCCTCAGAGCAGTAACTTTTATAAGACCCCATAACAATATTCATGATAATAATTATTATTTTTGGTATTGGGGATTGAACCCAGAGGTGCTACATTCCCAGCACCTTTGCACCTTTTGTCTTGAGACTGTGTCTCATTAAGTTGTTGAGGGTGTCACTAGGTTGCTGAGACTGGTCTCGAACTTGTGATCCTCTTTTCTCAGCCTCCCAAGTCACTGGGATTATAGACATGTACCACCATATTCAGCTTATAAGACCCAGTTATTATTTATAAACTGAAATAATAGAAATTTTTAAACAAAGGACCTTAAAGATGATGTTCATATCATCAGTGAGAAGCAGACTACTTTGCCCAGGCTCACACTTGGTGTTAGTGGCCATCTGGGAATTAGCATCCAGGATTTTTGATCATTGCTCCTCTCTTTGCTTCTGTGACTCCAGGCTGCTCTGTAGGCATGTGTCCTCCCTTCCTGTGTGTGGGGTAGATGTAGTGCTTGTACCTTTATTTTCTGTCCAGTTCACACCACTAACAACAGCACATGCCCTTCCCCGTCCCCATCCATGCAGGTAGTGCAGGACTCTGGCTGCCTTGCATACATTTGTCCCTCCATACTCTGATGCCAGGAGTTTTTCTTTTGGTTAACCTTCTAATTTGTACCGTTATAAAATATCTTTCTTCTGATTTCCTGTAAACTCAAAAGTAACATGCTGCATTCAGAATAAGACTTTCAAACTAGACTCTCTCTTTGAATGATCAAATTTAATGGAATTTGGAAGCATTACAATGGAAGGTGTGGCCAGGAATTGATAGGCTGATACAGCTGGTAGAAATGAGTGATGAGAAGGGAGTTATTGACAGGCTGTGGGATGTGGGCCCAGTGAAACCAGAGTTTTAAAAAAAGGTCAGAAATAAAGATTTGGGAAACACATTTCTTATGCCTCTAAAGGCCAAACAAAATGTATGAGCCATATCTGATCTCTGGGTCACTTAAATTAAGTGAATTTATGAAGGAAAGGTCCATTTCAGATTTTTAGGAATGATGGGCATATTAATCATTTTGTCCCACTGTCCCAGATGTGGGACACCTATAAATACTTAAACTGAACAACAAATATACCACTTATGATAACTTTGAAATAATATTTGAATATTTGTTACATTTGCAGAACTGAAAATTTAGGACTTAATGGAATAAGATTATACTCTTAAAGGTTACTGCTTAGTCTTAATCTTTAAAATAGCTACCCAAAGTAACTTTAATATGTATTTTGGGACATTTTCTTTTTATTATTATTTTCTATATAAGGATGTGTTGATTTAAGATTTCTATAAAGTTAAAAGTACTATTTCCAAAAAAACATATAGGCTATAATTTATAATATTCTGCAAACTAAACTTTGGTAATTAAGGAATACAGTATGTCCTCTTTCTAATTTTCATGGCTGCCCCTTTCTGTAAAACAAAATCTAATCTCAGTAGACTTGTTCTGAGTCCCTAGGGTATTTTTGTGATTCCATTCTTTGTTTCAGCTGCTGAGCTGTGCAGCTGTTGAAGTTCATCTGGAACCATCCAGTGGTTATTTGGAGGGACTTTCAGTGGTGGCTCAGAGGTGCTCCACAGATTCTAGACCTGAGCTAATCTGCCTGAGTTTCCTCTCTGTGGCTGAGCTAACAACAGAGTGCATTTCCTGGCTAAACACACCAGTGCCTGAAGTATATTCTCCACTCATCCCCTTGCTGCACAAGCAGGGAGCAGCATTTTGTGTGCAGTGTGTCAACCAGTCACTTAAGTTGGGTGTACTGACAACTGACATGCACTTGGTCTCCAGAAGCAGTCCTCAGAACTTCCAGGGTGCAGATAGACATGAGAGGAAAGGGTGCTGTGGGTCAGGTTTGCTTTCTGTTGGTAATTATGATACTGATAATGGTGGCACCTAATATGCACCACTTCGTAAAACTTGATATTTTTCTTATATCATTTATTTTAATTTTCATAACAATTCTGTGATCATAGATATTATTTGCTTCAAATATTTGTAGATTCATACCTACATTTTTATTCATTTTACTGTACTTCTATAGACTAGGAAAGGTTTCTAAAAGGTTCCAAAGAAAGAAATGTAACCACTCAGCCTCATTTGTAATAGGACTTGCCGATTGCATTATCTTTCCCATTGATGTAGAAGTCCCATCAGCGTTATCCACATAGTGCTCCATTACGCAATCTTTAACTGGTACTATTAATTGCCACATTTTAAGGGAGAGAGCACTGACTTTCACTAGCCAGGAGCCCCTGAGGGTCACTTAATTGGCTCAGAGATGCACAATGACTATGAGAAATGGATCATTCACAGGCAAGAAATGGAACAAGAGAAGGGGCTCCTTGGGCCCCAGGCTTCTATGTGTGAGTTGAGCTGGGTGGGGAATTTCTGTCACTGAGTTTTGAACAGGCATTCTTCTATGGTGGTCAGACCAAAATAGGATCATAGGCAATTTCTAGGACAAAGAAAACAGACATTTGGCTTAAGCCAGGTCACCTGGAAGCAGCATAGTGGGGTTGTAAAAATAAGATCTGGGAAATCGGAACTGTTTCTCGGGTAAGTAGCATTCAGAAAGGTAGCTGGAGTGAAGAGAGGATGACCCTGAGCAGGACAAGAGGAATCTTCCTTACTGCCTTGTTTTCTGTTTGGTCTTAATCTTTAAAAGAGCTACTCAAAGTAACTTTAGTGTAACTTTAGTGGAAGATTTTCCTTTTCTTAAATTTCCTATATAAATATGTACTTGGTATTTGTGCAAAACGAAAAGTACTATTTAAAGAACATAAATAGGCATTTACATATATTAATTTATAACAGTATGTTTTTGTTATGTAGTTTGACAGTTCCTTTTTTCAATATCTTTAAAAGCAAGCACTCTCTTTTCTTTTAATCTAGGGACTCCTTTCCATTTGATCAACAGTTTAACATTTTGATGAGATTTATTGTGGATCAAACTCAGACTCCAAACCTCAAGGTCAGTATCTATTCGTCATTACAGTTCAACCCCAGGAACTCAAAACGTTGCTTAAAATTTACTTTTTTAATACATGACTCGTATTTAGCAGTTAGGAAGTCTGTGAATATTCCTTTTCCACTCTGTGGACATGTTTTCATTTCTCTTGGTTTAGTGCCTTGTAAAGGAATTGCTGGTTCATAAAGTAGGCATGGACAGCTTTTTTAGAAGCCAAAATGATTATAACATATTACATCTCTACCAGCAATGTATGAGAGTTTCTGTTGTTCCACATCCTCACCATCATTTGGGCATTAGTAATCTTTTTCACAATTAATATTTAAACAAGAAAATTAAGCATTCTGATGTGTTGAGATCAGCATCTTGTTGGAATATTTCTTTAATGTTATCACTCTCTAAGATGTGGAAAATCATCTTATTGATAATAACTTGACTAAATTTTCTTGTTGTTGTACAGTGAGGGAAGATGTGTGTAGTCATATTCGTCATCTGTTCCTGGATCATGAATTTTTCTTGAGGTTTCACTATGGGCCTAATAAATGAACACCCTTTTGACGAGTTGATATAGAAGTTAGAGTAGAGCACGAGCTTGCCTCGCCGGACATGGCCTGGAATGTGTGAAAAACTAACTACAGAGTTGAGCCTGCCCTCTCATTTGGTGGCAGAGCTGCCCTATAAGTGTCCGGCAACACTTGTGAGGATTAGGATGTTATTTCATGTGGAAGTATAAGTGTAGGACAAAGGAAGGGAGTTTCCCCTCAATGGTGTTTACTTTTCTGTGGCCACCACTTATGAATTCTATTTAAAGATTGGTTGAGTATACTTAATGCTTATAATTATTTGGTCTTTCAGGTCAAAGTTGCAATCTTGAAATACATTGAGTCTCTGGCCAGACAGATGGACCCAACAGATTTTGTAAACTCTAGCGAGACGAGGCTTGCTGTTTCTAGAATCATTACCTGGACAACAGAACCAAAGAGTTCAGATGTGAGAAAGGTATGACCAAGAGAGCTAAAGTATAATTACAGACTGTCCTAGGCATGTATTAGAAACCAGAAATTCATTTAGAAATGTGCAAACTGCCCCCACACACACACACACACACAACCACTTTTTTTCTATGAAAAGCAAGGTTTTTCTTCTTCTCTTTCCTGTTATGTCCATTTCCAGTGTTTGACTATCACAAGAAAAATCTGATGGGTTCATGGTTTCCCAGGTGTCCATTTTTATCATTTTGTGGTATGAAAGCACTAGCAGTCTAGTGTCTTTTTCAAGAACACTGAACAGTCTGACTTGTGCTTTGAAGATGCAATTGTAGATCTGAGGCTAGCAGGCTGTGGGGTGCCTGATAGTAAAGTGAGGTGCCTGTAGTTGAAAAGTTTGATAAGATAGAACAGATTCTTTACTTTAGGAAGAGCAAATAAACATCTAGTTATATGCCACATTTGGAACATGCTGTCTGTGATTTGGGAAATGGAGTGGCGTGGGGACAGAATTCAGATTTTTGAAACACCTGATACCAACACATTGTTTTGTTGTTGTCATTTTAATAGCTCAAGGGAAATATTTGCTTCTTCTGAAATAACATTGAGATGCATGTAACATGGTAGAGCACAGGCTACTACTCCTTCTCTTGTTAACTAATCTGCTTCACAGACTGTTAAAAGGATGACAGTAAAGCATTTAATCAGTCCCCGACACACTACAGTCAGAGTGTGAGTTCATATTGGGGCTGTATAGCTATTGTCCTCCTTCTCTTCTTATCAGGGGTGTTTCCAAAGCTTGGGTTTCACACGTGGTTGTTACAAACTTTTACTTTATATAAAAGCTTTGCTTTTCATGCTTTTTAAAGCCCAAATTTCTCAGTTCTGCCTTCAGAACTCCAAGGTGGTTATTTGTGTGAACTCACAACCTGGCATTTTCTTCTTCTGTATTCTACTCCTTCCTCAGCCATCCCTACCAGTAGCCCTTTGGCCTTGGGGCAGGATGGAAAATATGGACCACCTGGATCCAGACAGGGAAAAGGGAAGGGTGATCCTAAGCAGAGTTCAGCATGATTGGTGCATTTCCTGGTGCAAATAGACACTGAACTCTCTTACGGAGTTCAAAGAGAAGAACCAAAGAATTATCTAAGAGATTTCTTTAGAAGGAAAGGATCATGGTCCATTTAATTCTCACTGTCTGTTACTTAGCAATAAACTAACTTGCTCATTGTCAAAGGAACAAGGGAAAATCTTTTTAAAGCACTCATTCAAATTATTATCTAATATCAACTAATATTTTTCATTCATGATCCTGTTGTAAAATATCTTAACATTTATCAAAAATTTTTTTTCATTGATAACATTTAATAAACTAGTTGGGTGGCTGGATGATTTTATTTGCTTTAAAAGTCAACAGGAGGACGGAGACTAGGGACCCACAGTCCCTTTGAAGAGCATGCCCCCAATAACCTAAGGATCTCCCACTGGGCACCTCCTCTTTTTCGTCTTCTTCTTCTCCTCCTCCTCCTCCTCCCCCTTCCTCCCCCTCCTCCTCCCCCTTCCTCCCCCTCCTCCTCCCCCTTCCTCCCCCTCCTCCCTCTCCCCCTCCATATTTTTTGTTGTCAGTGGATCTTTCTTTATATGCGGTGCTGAGAATCGAACCCAGTGCCTCACACGTGTTAAGCAAGCTATTACTGAGCTACAACCCCAGCCCTAGGCCCCACTTTTTAAAGGTAAACCACCTCTTAGTAGTGCCACTCTAGGAACCAAACCTTCAATTACTGTGGAAAAAAAAAAAAAGGCTACTCAAACCACAGCTGTCTGTGTCAGTGTGAGGATGTGCTTTAGTGGCAAATCTTCCTTGTAAGTATTTCCTACATGGGCCTAAATGTGTTTTAGATTTGCATCTTGCTGTAGTTAGGGCCTGTTTTCGAGTAACCAAATTTGAACCTAATGTCTGCTTACCATGGACATGCACATTAGAAAATCTAAACTAGGATTTATTGTTCTTTTCTAATCAGGACATTGTAGGAACTTCCTTCCTTGAATTATTTAGCCTGGGGCTGTAGAAAATTGCAGCTTATTCTAATGCTAACACAGGTCAAATATGACTAGAAAATTAGATTTATTGCAAGTGATCACATGGTCCATTTACTGTTTGAATAATCTACAGTTTATTTTCAGTTATTTTGCATTATCTGCTGTTATTTCACAAAGCCTTGTCTCCCTTGGTGTGCTGTTCCCACTGCATTCTTGCTTCTCCCTCATCCCATTGTGAGGGCTACTTCCTTCCCTTTAGATCTAGCTTAAAGCTAGTTTCTGGTTCAGGTAGTCTTGATCTTAAGAGAAAAATTTTTTTAAATATTTATTTAGTTGTAGGTGAACACACAGTATCTTTATGTGGTGCTGAGGATCGAACCCAGTGCCTCACACATGCGAGGCAAGCACATTACCACTGAGCTACAGCCTCAGCCCCTTAAGAGAAATTTGAGAAATTTTAGATCAGTAGTTCTCAGTTCTGGCTGCAAATTAAAATCACCCTAGATTTCTGGTCTCCACTCCTAGGCAATTTGATTTTATTGATATAGTGTAGAATCTGTACCTAGGGCTTTTTTAAATTTTTTGATTAGGGTCCTTGCAATCTTGATTTTTAATGCAGAGCTGAGGTCCATTATTTTAGACCATTGCCCTGGAATTGAACTTCAAGACATACAGACTGCCGAAGTAGTCTTGACCTGATTACTACAAATTCTATTCTGCTCAGCCTAGTTCTTTAGTATCTTCAGGAGTAGGCCCGGCCTCACTGTTCCCTAGAGCCTTCCCTAATTCCCTTTGTTGTCTGTGAGCCCCGTCTAGTGGTTGGGGCCCTTGAAGTCTTCCTTTAGCCTGCTTGGTTTTTTGTCTGTTGTCAACTCAATGCGTGTTGCATTGATTAGGGAAAGCTTCTTAGAGAACAGGATTCATCTTTCATCATAAAATATGGAGGAGATTTTCCTAAGTGGTGAGCTTTGGAGAAGGGCAGTGTCTATGTTGAAAAGATGAGGTTTGTGTGGGAGCAGAGAGTAGACCAACGTGTCCAAGCAGAGAATTCTGAGGAAGTTGAACACTGGAGACTGTCTTGGTCACCCTCCATGCTGAGCACCAGTATAATACCCGCAGAGTTATAGTTTGGATCCGGAATGTCCCCATAGACCCCTTGGTTCACAGCCTATGACACTATTGAGGTGGTAGAACCTTTAGGTGGGACCTTGTGGGAGGAAGTTAGGTAATCGGGGGTTGTCCTTGGAGCAGATTCTGGGCCATCATGAGGTGAACAGGTTACCTCTGCCGTGTTCTCTCACCATGATGAACTGTGCCACTACAGGCCCAAAGCAAGCAGGCCAAGTAACCAACCATGGACAGCAACCTCTGAAACTGGGAGCCAGAACAAACCTTTCCTTGTTATAAATTGTTTATCTCGGTGTTTTGTCATAGTAATGCAAAGCTGACTAACACAGTAGGCATCTAGTAAAATAATATTCAATAAACTAATACAAACACCCACAGCGAAATGATCTCATTTCAAATGACATTTTGAAGCTATACTTGAAAAGCCATAGTCTCTTCTTTTGGCTTCTACATTCGTTTTCTGTTGACTAACAACTTACCATAAAACCTAGCCACTGGAGACCACATACATTTATGACCTCTCAGTTTCTGTAGGTCAGCAGTCTGGCGTGTGTTCTCTGGGTCCTCTGCTTAGACTTTTACCAAGCTGAAACACAGCCCCTATCGGGGGCTTCCATCTCATCTATGGCTCTGTTCTTGACAGAGTGCAGTTTCTCACAGGTATAGGACTGAGGAGCCTGCTTTCTTGCTTTCACAGAGGGGCCATTCACAGCTTGTGGCTTGCTGCCCACCAGGACATGTGCTACTTCCTAATCAGCAGGAGAATATTTGAAGACATCATTTCCAGAAATGGATAAAAACTTTAATCTTTGTACTTAAGCAGTTCCAACTCTGAGTAAGAATTAAAGGAGAGGGAGAAAGGAAAGGATTCACCCCTAGGAACTTCAGATGGAACTTTTGAAAGCTAAAGGTAGAAACCGGAGAGCAGTAAGAAGGCATCATGCCCAAGGCATCCTCAGTAAGATTAGCAAATGATTTCTCATCTGAAACCCTGGGGAACAGAAGGCAGTAGGATAACATTCAGAGTGCTGAAAGAAAAACCGTCAACCATGAATTTGCTGTTCAGCAAAACTCATCTTCATAGTTAAACAGAATCTCTCCAGCCTTGTCAGGACTCACCTGATCAGATCAGACCCACCCAGGTTACTCTCCCCTTTGATTTAACTCAAGAGTCAACCAATTAGAGGCCTTATTATATCCCCAAAATCTCTCTGCCACAGTGCCGCAGTCTGGCTGGGCACAAAATAACCGAGCCGCCACACAGTTCAAAACAGGAACTCCTTTATTCTCCGCACTCCCATGCACGCGGCCTTCTCTCCTGACACACCACACACCAACCGGAATTCCCTCCTCCGGAAATCCCTCCTCCCGCACTTACTCAACCAATGGGAACTCTTGGGAAATCCTCGTGAGAACTCCAGAGTAGCGGGAGAGTAGCAGGCCAAGGTGAACAGCAGGGGTCTAATATACAGTTGAATACACAGCTTAACATAACCATTATCATCTCAATGGCTTGCTCTCAACCACTCCATTCTGGCAAAAATGCCATGCCTCCTTCCAACTCTCAGCTATGGCTCTCAGCACCACAGTGCACATAGGGGAGAAGATTGCGTAGGTGTATACATGAGCACCATCCTCACATTGCCTACCAAGGCTTTGGTGTCTCTTTCAGTGGGTTGACCCTATTCTTCCATAATTATTTGGTAAGTCCTAGCCCCCACGTGTTGACTCGAAAAATTCAGGAAATGGAGAAATGGCAAAGAAACCTAGGAAGCATAAAGATGCTGTTGGCTCGAACAGAAAAAGTATATAAATGGCCTTAAAGCTGAAATTTCTAAATGACTTTAAAAAAAAAAATCTCTCATGCAGCAGAGCCTGATCAAAAAGCTAAGGGTTTGATCATCAGATTTCAGTTTCCACTTAATTACAGCTCTCAAGCCTTATTTTGACCTCTGAATTTCCACCTCATCATATGAAACGAGAGTATTCCTGCTTCCAGGAAGGTTTGGAATCATTGAATAAAGAACCTAGTAAATGATTGAGGGTCTCAGATTCTTATTATTCCCAACTTTTGATTTTATGTGCCTCGGTGATTTCATGTAAGAAGCCAGATTGCTTTTCCAGCCTACAGCCGGCTTGGTTAAGCACACTCTGCCTCTCTCTGATCCCCTCCCCTCCCACTTTCCTGTTTGCCAGTCCCCGCTTCAGCGTAGTCGAGTAGGGGAGGATTTCCCCACTAGGTCAGCATCCACCTGTTCTGGGCCTGGAGAAGGAAACTTGGAAGAAAATTGTAAACAGGTAGACCGGAAACCGCGTACTAATTCCAAACAGCATACTTCATTGTTTGTGTTTATTAGATTATTAATACCAGTTACCAGAAAGATTTTGAAGAACCAAAAATTAATACAATACTGTGTGAGAGTGTGTGTGCTCCTGTCTCATTGTTGATGTTGGGATGTTGTCTGATTAACCACCTTTCCAGCAGGACAGTGGTGTTGACTGTAGACCACCACCACACCATGGTTCAATGGGATGGTGAAAAGGAGAGATACTAAATGAGGAAGGTCTGAAGGTTTTGAAATACCTTTTATTTGGTGATCTATGAAGCAATTTTAATAACAACCTCTGAAACCAGCAATAAAGAGATGTTTAATAAATTAGAAAACTCTTTGCTTTTTCTCCCAAATTTTAAGTTTCCCCAAATTAATATCAACACTGAAGCATTTGCTAAAGCTTCATCTACATCCTGTCTGCTAGGAAGAATTTCTTCCTGCAGTGAGGTATACAGCATTCAAGGCAGTTGACAGCCCAGGAGTTCTCTTCAGGCCATATCACTAAGATGTGAAGAACCTTTTTTCCCATCCTGTCCCCAAATCCCACTATAAGGATGTGACTGAGAATCATTTCCTCTAAAGTTGCCCCGGAGTTGTCCATTAGAAAAAGCCAGCTGCACTCTGAAACTTTTTGCATCTAGCCTCAGGTGGAGGCAGCAGTAGAGGGTGCACATGGGGCATCCCACCATTGGCACCTGCACTGAGTGTGAGCTACTTCCCAGGCTGTTCTGTGGGTGCATCTCTCCAAGGAGCTCCGTATGTGGACTTGTTCTTTTAATAAAATCATATTGTTGGTATGATAAGTAGAACCCACTTTTCTTCCTTGCCCAGTTCTAATATTTTGACTTTTCACTATCTCAGAGGGGCATAGATAAAATATTTTATGACCAAAAAGTCTTATTCTCTGTACAGCTTCAATTTAAGATATAATTTTTAAAGAACATACTTAAATGATACTTGCCATTTCTGGAGCTTGGATCTCATTAGGAAAAGATTTTACTTAGAAAGCACCATAAACCAATGACTTTTAAAAACTATATAAAATCGTTTGCATTTACATTTTGAAAAATGAGCCTTATTCATCTATACATCTAAGACACACACACACACAAGCACATCTGTCTAACTAGGTATAGTTTCAGAATTCCCTGTTTCTATTTGATTTCTTATTAAAACTCAACATTGGAATTATTGAAAACAGACTGGATATGGGTCAGAAGTGAAAAGTCTATTGTGCACTTTCTTTTTTTAAATTTTTATTTAACCCAGAAACCCTTACCACTAACCACCTTATCACTGAGCCACATCCCCAGCCCCTCCCCCCTTTTTTCTTCTTATTCTTTTATTTATTAATTTTTTGAGTCAGGGTTCTCACTAAGTTGCTTAGAGCCATTGCGTGCCTGGCCATTGTGCACTTTCTTTACCTGCAGAGATAATTGTTGCTCATAGTAGGTAGCCATGAATTTACATAATTTTTAGACCTGCTGTTTTGCAGTCCTCCTATTCCTGAAAGATCTTTCATATTTTACAATTTGCTTCATGAAAAACATCAAGTTAGTGGCATTAGATAACCTATAATTTTGGGAAGAAATGTGGTCTCTTAAAGACAATGGCACATTTCACATAAAGATATATTATTTAAGAATTCATTGGTACATTTTATAGTATGCAAATGCCATTTTCAGTCCTCAAAATCTAAGTGCCTGTCCTTTTTTAATAAATTGTCAATGTGGATGTTGTTTCCTGCTAAAATTCCAGCCCTTTCATTCTTTCTCCTTGCAGTGTAGTTTTTCCTGCATGTTTTTTTTCCCTAACATCTAATGAAATGTTTTAAATACACAGGTTACTTTGCATGATATTTGAAATTTGTTCTGTTATACAAAGGTACAAATCATGTTAACAGTACATTAAATTGGTTGTGAAATAGATTCCTTCATGTAATGATGCAAATATATTAGTAAGGAAATGCAGAAAAGTATATTTTAGTACAACCAGTAATATTGTTTTTTTGCCTGTATCACAAAAGTACACTTGTCACTTGTGATTTAACTTGGGTGGAAAGGCTATTACTGACTATCTTTGGAGATCAAGGGAAAAGATAGTGTGCTTTTTGCCCAATACTTTGCTTTAATGAATGCTTTTGAAATGCTGAAAAAGTAATTTTTTATTCTGTTAGTCAACTGATACTTTTTAATTTGGGTCTTTGAATTTTTTTTTCTTTCTGCAGCCACAAAAGTAATCTTGTCCTAACTGGACCTAGAATTAATTTTAACATTGTAAAAGCATTGAGGTATTTTTTTTGTATTTCTTTTTCCCAGAGAATTCTCAGCAAGCACATTTTTATAAAATATTTCCTGTCATGGGAAAAAGTATTTTAAATAATGACTGCAGTTCTGAAAAATACAGTCTTAAAAAGACTTTATGCTCTTAATTAAAAATGAATAAAAAAGTTATTGTATCCACAATAACAGTTTTTCATAATTTTTTTCCTTCCTCTCGACTCTTAGAAATCAATAAATGCCAATCGGGTATTTACCAAAATTTTCTTTTGGCTTAGCTTTTGTAAATCAAGACCCTTGTAAATTAATTAATTCCTCCTTGGGCATTGCCCTTTTTTTTTTTTTTTTTTTTTTTTTTGGTATACTAGGGATTGAACCCAGGGATACTTCAGCACTGAGTTACATTTTCCAGTCTTCTTAATTTTGAGACAGGCTCTTGCTAAATTGTTAATGCTAGTCTCTTACTTGTGGTCTTCCTGCCTCAGCCTCCAGAGTGGTTGAGATTGCAGCTATGTGCCACCATGCCTAGCTCAGGCATTGCTTTTTAACTCATATTGCCTGCTACTAAATCAGTACCGCAGAAAGCACTTGCTAGAAAGCCTGATTTCACCTGGTACTCTTTTATCAGCTAATTGCTTCCCATCTGCTGCCAGCAGGTCCTGTAATAGTCCTGCAGTGTGTTGTCTCAATTAATAAAGAAAAGTAAACACTTTCCAGAAGGCAAAAGAGCACTAAGATCAGAGTAGGGACGAAGAGCAGGAGAAGAAGATTAACATTTAACAGGGATGAGAGGTGGGAGGGAAAGGGAGAGAGAAGGGAAATTGCATGGTAATGGAAGGAGACCCTCAGGGTTATACAGTGGAGGAGGTAGAGAGAGAGGAGGGGAGGGGAGGGGAGAGGTGGGGAGGGGGGAGGGTGGAGGATGGGAAAGGCAGCGGAGCACAACAGACACTAGTATGGCAATTTGTAAATCAATGGATGTGTAACTGATGTGATTCTGCAATCTGTGTATGGGGTGAAGGTGGGAGTTCATAACCCACTTGAATCAAAGTGTGGAATATGATATGTCAAGAAATTTGTAATGTTTTGAACAACCCACAATAAAAAATTAAAAAAAAAAAGAGCACGTTTTTACTTAATACCACCCCATGTCCCATGTTTACTTTTCAGATGTATTTAAACTCTCCTCTTTATTGCTTAGTATTGCTTAGTCAAGAGAAATGGGGTTGAAGGAAGGAAGTTTCTTAGGATAACCGAACAGCCACTTATTTGAAATTTATTCTTTCTAGTTTACACTGGGAGCCCTATTCAGGTCTAACTTCTTAGATGGGGAGCGAGCAATCTTAAGCTTTTAAAATTTTTTTGATTGTTTTATTTATCTGTTTATCAAGTTTATAGTCAAACACAGTGATGTAGGCCTGTAATCCCAGTGCTCGGGAGGCTGAGGCAAGACGATTGCAAGTTCAAGACCAGCTTCAGCAACTTAGCGAGAGCCTACAAACTTGACAAGACCCTGTCTCAAAATTAAAAAAAAAAAAAGAAAGTCTGGGCATTTGGCTCAGTGATTAAGTGCTCCTGGGTTTAATCTCTGTTACCAAAAACAAACCAAACAACTCTAATAAACATTTCGATGGAAATTAACTCTGATTCTTCTTCTAGGCAGCACAGATTGTGCTCATCTCTCTGTTTGAATTGAACACTCCGGAATTTACCATGTTACTTGGTGCCTTGCCCAAAACATTCCAGGATGGTGCCACCAAACTCCTGCATAACCACCTCAAGAACTCCAGTAACACGAGTGTGGTGAGTGCTGGCTGCAGTTGGTGCCCCAGTGCCCATCGTGACCCTTGGGTGTCCCATATCTAGCACTCACACTGAGAGGAGAGCCAGCTGCCTTGTTCTCTCTGCTTGTAGATTGTGGTATTCCTCAAGGTGGGATCATGTCTGATCCTGGCATATTCCTGAAGAATGAATGAACCTGACACTGATAACAGCCTTTTTCTTAGTTTGTTTAATCAGTTAAATTTTTACTAGATCATATTTACTCATTCTTTGAGTCCCTCTTACCTTTTAACACTAAAAGAGGCAAAATACTCAGTCATGTCTGTTACTTTAACACAGCTGATTCAGTCATTCAGCTCCAAGAATGCCTGTATCCAGTTTTGGTTTATATGCACTCAAAATGGGCCCTGTGATTCTGGGAGAGGGAGTTATTGTGGCAAATTTTACACATTTACACATGAGTTTAAAAACCAAGAGAAAAGGGGGGTTGTATTCTATAGAAAGAATTTGGATAACTTTTGCTTACTCTGCTTTCACCCCAGGGATCTCCAAGCAATACAATTGGCCGGACGCCCTCCCGACACCCCAGCAGCAGGACCAGCCCTCTGACCTCACCTACCAACTGTTCCCATGGGGGTCTATCACCAAGGTAATCTCACTTCCACAAAAATGAAGAAACAAAAGGACCCCAATGTCTGTGCAGCCTGTTTCTGGATTTTTAGACTAAATTTATTGTCAAAAAGAGTATTGACTCAGAAGACAATGGTTTCTTAGTCCTTGCTCCACTAGTACCTGGGATCCTGGGCAAAGGGGTAAAATGAGAAGTTTGTGCTAAATGTTCTTCTAGTTCTGTATGCTCCCTAATACTCCAGACTGCTGCACATTCTTGGCAAATAAATTGCAGAGCAGAAAGGCACTGCATGGATCACCTCTGAGTCCCCTGTTTGGGGCGGGGGGTGGGGGGATGGACTGGGGGCTGTCTACCACTGAGCCAACCCTTTTCTTTTTTTGAGACAGGGACTCACTAAAATTGTTGAGGCTGTCTTTGAACTTACAATCTCTTGTCCCAGCCTCCAAGTCACTGAGAGGATAGGCATGTGCCACCATACCCTGTTTAACACTTACAAATTTTAAAACTAGAAGCTCATCTAGTACTGTTTGCATAGAATCCATGAGGAAGTTTATTACCTGTTCTCCAAGTGATAGGAGAACCTGAAGGTGTTTATTTAATCAGAGAGACCCTCTATCATCAGTCCTTACTAAGTCTGGTCTACTTTTTCCAACCATTTGGCCATTCCAAGCATAGTTGCTCTCCTGTTTGAAGCAAAATGCCAGGCTGGAGGATTGTGATTTAAAATCTGAGAATTAAATTGCATCAGCATGGCCAGGCATGGTGGTGCATACCTATAATCCTAGTGACTTGGGAGGCTGAGGCAGGAGGATTCCAAGTTTTGAGGACAGCCTCAGCAACTATTTTTTAAAAAGAGCAGGGGATGTGGCTCAGTGGTAAAGTGTTTCTGGGTTCAATTCCCATTACCCAAAAAGAAAGAAAGAAAAATTGGATCAGCATATTCAGACTCCTGTTGGGACCATGCAACGATGGCCTTATAGAATCTGGAACAGTGACTTCAAAAGAGAAAACACTTTGCCATGGCATCTTTAGATAACACTTCTCCATCTCACCAGAGCCTTTAGAAGTCTGTGTAGTGGCTTTAGTGACTCCCTCCCATAACTTGGCCCCAGAGGTCTGAATTTTTCTGGACCAGCAATGTTCACACACACTGTGAAGTCCAGCTCTTTGGGCTCACTCACAGTAAGAACCAAGAGGCTTTTGTCCTGAGGATTACTGGCACCAAGATCTTAAAATGAAACTGAAGTACTACCATTTTCTCTTTAAGTTTTTACCTCTTTGTTTTTAAATTTATAATTTTAAAATTATATTGTTAAATGATCCCATCTCACAAACTCCTTCCTTACCACTGAACCTCTTCATTTCCTCAGTTACCCTGTAAATATTTTGGAGTATATCAAATTTGCATTTTTCTCTTGGTGAAATGCAATAGTTTCTACTGCCTTATGTGTATCCCTCCAAATGTCCCCATTCTATAAGTATAACGAAGTCTGATGTGCTAATCTCCAAGTCTGGTCTGTGCTGTCAGGATTCCAAGCAGACTGTTAAGAGTTGAGGCCAGAAACTAATGAACCATATGTCTGATTTTCCCCAGGTGAGAATGGGAGTCCACCAGCTTTCTTTTTTTTCTTTTTTCTTTTTTTTTAATGCTAAGATCTGTATCTAAATTATATGGTTTGTCTTAAATGACTAGGATCCAGTGCTGATAGTACAATTTTATAGAAATTTGCATTCTCTATGAATTGTTGCCTTCATCTAGATGTTATACTTCTACAACATTAATTGCAAAATCTGTTCTTCCATAATATACATTTCATATATCTTTTACTTATTGCATTACTAGGGTGTCACATTCTTCAGGTAATAAGCCACAAGATATAACTCAAATTAAGTATCTTATTTTTCTATACACTAGTAGCCTAGGTGAAACTTTGAAGAGGGCTGTTAGTGGAATCCCAAAGAAGTGGCTAGAAAATAGTCTTCATGGATCTTCAAATCATTAAAAATTTTAGTTTACTTTTTCAGCTCACCATTCCTCTTTAATTGGCCTCATCTTAATTATTAACTGTTAGGATTACAGAATAATAGGAGAAATTAAGAGATTTATATTCAGTATTAAAAATCCAAATGTGGCCTACATATTTTCTTGTGGACAAATTCTTCTTTAGAGAATTATTTACATAGCTTCTTTCTTTAAAAAAAAAAAAATGACCTGCAATTCAGTGCTGAAATAGCCAAATGACTGTAGTCAACTTGAGCTCAATAGGAGAAATTATTTTTCTTACAACAGAGGGTGTCCTGCAATGGGGGACATGCCTCATGTTGTTGTGGCACTAGAAGAAATAAGAAAAACTCAAATAGGCTACAAACTGTCTAACAGGAAAAGAAGTGAATTCTTACACTAATAAGAGAATGGGTATTTGCCATGTTCTAAGGAGGCGAGAAACAAGGTCTGCAGTACACAGTCTCAGCAATTTTTCTGAGCAGTGCTCTTGAAATAAAATCTGCCATACCATGTTATGTTTTTATTCATATATAGTTGTCAATGGGCCTTTATTTTATTTATTTATATGTGATGCTGAGAATCGAAACCAGTGCCTCACACATGCTAGTTAAGCGCTCTACCACTGAGCCACCACCCTTGCCCTAGGTTTTTATTCTTAAGGGGAAAGTTATCACCAATCATTTGTTTTTAATCTAATTTTGAGTGTCAAAATGAACTAGGATTTTTGATCATTTTCACAGTTTTTTGGTGCAAAATTTTTATGCTTGGATCATGGTAATTATAAAGAACCTTTCCAAAATGGTGAATAAATCTAATTTGATAGAGTTTCAAAACATCATGGGTAAGGAAGTCATTTTTATCAGCCTAATACTATCAGAGATGCCATCGATAACAGGTTAAACTTTTGTAAAACATCCCTTTAATGACTACCTGTTACCAACTAATTGTTGTTGATATTTAGTGAGATTTATGAACTGTGTTTTTCATTATTAAATACATTTATGTTTAAGCTCATTTTACGTGGTATGATTTTATGGCAAATGAAAAACAGAGTTGCAAAGAGCTTCAGAAATTATCTGAAGTTCATTCCCATCGAGAAAACAAAGCAGGTGAGGGTTTTGCTCCAGACTGCTGCACATTCTTGGCAAATATATTGTAGAGCAGAAAGGCACTGCATAGATCACCTCTGAGTCCCCTGGCAATGGAAAGTAATTTTAGGTGGATTTTACATTTTTCTGTCAAAGAATCCAAAGCATCCATAGAATCAAAATAGGAGTTAGCAGGGAGCCTCTGCCCTGTACTTGCAGATGGGCACATCTGTTTGGTCTTCATCCATCAGCAGAACCCCAGCTTGAGGGTGTCACCATATTCCTCTAGTGCCCAACCCCCTGTGTGACTTGGAGGGCTTCAGACCCTCCATGCCACAGTGACCTCTTATCTCCACACCGTATTTTCCTTATTAAAATAGGGACCTTAACAAAAGCTCAGAACCTTAACAAAAGCACATGCTGGGGCTCCCCTGTTGGCCAAGGCAGGACTGCTCCACAGAAGCCCCGCCTCATACCATGAACTTCACCCCACGTTCTCACCCCACTTCCCAGCCAACTCAGCTCCTGCCTCCCGGTCTCTCGCTCCACCCTTTAGATTGCAACTGAGCTTGGACATTTCCATCATGGTCTCTGCAAGCCTAAGTCAGCTAGTGACATTTGGGAAGTGAAGACAAATACCTGTATTTTAGTGAGAATTTTAGTTCTCATATCAAGTAATACTAGCAGACGAATCAGATTCCTAAACTGGCCAGCTGAGGCTAAATGCCCCAAACAAGGTTCTGCCATTCTTTTAGAAAAAAAGTGCCTATCTCTGAACTCTGATTGGATTGCAGCCTCAGAGCACTCTGTCCCATACCAGGTTGCTCTCTGTCCGAATAGCATGGTTTCTAAGTCTCCCTGGTGTGCTCACTCTGGTCCCATTTGAACCGAGGCCCAATAATTCCTCTTTCTAAATAACTGGTGAGTTGTCCAAAACTGAACATCCATATTTTCTTGTGTGTTAAGTGTTTATAGTGCTCTTCCCAGCTCAAGCAGCAGGTACACACACACTCTTTCATAGTTCACACATGCACTGTCAGACTCACAGATTCACAAACTCTCACAGGCACACTTGGAATCTCATGTGACTTTTAGGTGGTAAATGCGTCCTGTGGTTGGCAGAGAAGAGAATGAAGCAGTCTTATTAAGGACCAACTATAAAACAAAATGTGTTCTTTTTCTCTGTATGGTGAAGTGTTAATTTTGTTCCAGCTAAGTTTGATAGAACTTTTTTCAAGGAAAGAGGAGCGTGTAAGGCACTTAGAATGTAGCGTCTTCCCTCCCCTGCCCTGTGCCTTCTGTGTTTCTCTCTCTGATTTTCCTCTTCTGATCACTGCAGTCGGTTGTGGGGTTGGAGTGCCGATGGGTTATCGAAGCACCCACCTCCCTTTTCTCAGCCTAACTCCATTCCCACCGCTCCCTCCCACAAGACTCTCAGGCGCTCTTACTCTCCCAGGTAACACCCTACCTGTTAAACTTGTCTGAGGTGTCACAATATTATTACATTTCCACGGTCGTCTCAGGTGTTTTGGAAGGCCTCTCAGCTCCTCCACCGTGATTCCTGCCTCAGCTTAGCCTAGCAGGAGTAGAGCCTTGGTGAGAAGTGTGAGCAGGTGTGTGACCTGGGCCAAATCTCATGAACTAGTATGTGCCATGTCTCAGCGACAATGACAGTGACCCTTTTATCACCTGACCAGATTCATCACTGTCTGCTCTCACGAGTATTTTGGCCCAGTGCACTGCTCAGCCCCTAGAAGCAGCTCAGGAAAGGTAGTTGAGAGTGGGAACAGTCTCCTTAGCAGGTTTCTCGGGCACAAGAGGCTTTCCACCCCGGAGCACACAAGACCTGCGCTTCCCTGAACCTCACAGGTGGCCGTCAGCCCTTCTGTTACTGCGTGGACTGACTTCCTTTCTCACGTACTGTGTCACATGGTGATACTCTTGAGCACGCAGATCCAGACAGAAGTCCCAAGAGATGGCATCACTGTTGCTTCTCGCTAAAGAATGACCCCTTCCCGGCAGGAAAGCTATTGGTCATCGTGCAAGCCCATCATCAGTGCTGAGTGACATTCCCTGATGCTGGTTGACTGTGGCAGTATTAGGCATCTAGAAGAAGAAAGTGTGCTTCTCTCAGGTATTAAGGCAGATGATAGGTCTGCAGGACCAAGAAGGATCTGTGTAATACTACAGATGCCTGATTAGGGGCTCTTGAGTGCAGAGATGAGACAGTCGTTTGCCAGAAGCCCGTAATTACATGAGCAGAGCACCAGGCAGTCTGGCTGTCACTGTGCTTTCAAAGAAGAGTTTGTGCCCTCTGTGATAGAATGAGGATTCAAAAAGCAAACAACAACAAAAACAGTCTGAAGTTTTGAATTGCTTCACAGATAGCTTTTGCACAGAAGATTTGCATTCCTGCTTTTATGTCCCCAGAACAACAAAACTGAACACAGTATACAGGTTAACAGATGCTTTCACATCTTTCTTTTGAAGCTCTCACAGGTCTGAAAGTAACTTGTAAAATGTTCAGAGAACCCTGTGGTGACTGTTTCTCGATATGCAAGTTTAAGCCAAGCAGAGAACACTGCTCTCTTTAATATTAACAAAATTTGTCACTTTTTTAAGTTAACCTTGCCTTGTAGTTTGGATCAGTTTACTGATAGTCTTCCAATATATTGCCCTGCATGCTAAGCCTCAGCCCCAGCCAGCCAACAGGGCTGTCTCTAGAATCATCCCATTCCTAGAATCATCTTTCCCATAAACACAAAATAATGTATATTGATCTAACTCACCAGTGGATAACACTTTAAAAAGGAGTCTGTGTCCATCTTTTTGCTCTGTGCCAAAACCCCACTGATTTTATCACTAAGTGATTTTCTTAGTCCCCATATCTATTATTCTTAGTCTACAAAATGACAAAGAGGAAAGCTTCAGCAAGCAGCTTCCTCTCTTTCTTGTTTCTTCTTGGAGACTTGACCCTGCACTTCTCCCCACTCCTGATAGGACAATTCCAGAGCTGTATTCAGCTGCAGTATTGGGTAACATGGTCTGACCTCAGGTTAATGACTGTTAACAGATAGAATAACTTCCTAATCTAAAGAACTCTGAGGAAGCACTTTGGGGTTTAATCCGAGTGCTTACAGGTGATCAGGACCTGGCCTTTGACCTAAAGACTTTGTGCTGTGATCATCTAGGGCCTGACACAGACCACGGTGCAGGCAGCTAATGGAGTCTCTTCTCAGTAGGCTTCTGGGCCCTCCTGCTGTCCCTGAGAAGTGCTTTCAAGCCCACTCCCTGACAACAATCTTCCTGGGAAGACCCTTCCTCCCTGTGAAGTGAGGGCTTCTAGTATTGACTGGGAAAGGCAAGTCAAGCCAAAGCATAGAACAGCAGAGAAAGTAACTGTTCCCTGATTGGAAAGCAGTATGTCTCTCACCTAGAGCTCACCATTTTAGCTTCATACCAAGGAGATACTTCAAAGCTCAATCTAGTGATCCTGAAGGAGTCCTGTTTGAAGTGGGTTTATTCATTAAAAGTGAGAAGGAGGAACATTAACTGGCAGAATCCTTTATTTTCTTATCTTCAAAAGAGGCTATTTATAATGGTAAAGTCAATTGAACTGAAATGAACTGTTTGAAGAAAGTTCAGGTTGAGAATCATGACATGAATTTATCTGAAAGCCAACATTCTCTGAAGCGACACATGGAAAATAATATTGTGACATCCCGTAAAAAACTGACATTCTGCCAGACTGCCTCTTGTCCATCCATCACTTTCAGTTTTTTTGGTTTTGTTTTTTACTTTTGCATGGGCTTGCTATTATTTTTTGATTATTGTGACTAAAAGTATTTTAAGGCATTTTTTTACACCTTGTATATATATTTTGTTTGAGTCATAATTCTCAGTCTTTATATATGAAATAGTGTACTGGTCAGATGTATAAATTCCTTTGTCTGGAAGTAAGCTGGTATTGCAGCGTTCCTAGGAAAGGGGGCTGGGAGGGGGCTCTGCTTCCCAGTCATGCTTTCTGCATATCCAGGGATACTGCCTTGGGGACAACCTTGTGAACTTAGAAGAAGTTGATATCTTGAATTTTGTTCAGGTTCTTATTCTACCTTTTGTTAGAATATAGATGGAGTTTCACTTGCAGATGTGTTCAAGTTCACATTTATTCATTTGGTACCAGAGCAAGGCTTTGAGTTGGCATGTGTTTTTGTGAACTCTTCAAATATAGTCTGGGTGTGTGTTTTCTTTCATTTGTCAAGAAAGAACGATCCTGTCTGGGCCAGTTTTGCCATCTTAGACATAGCTTCCATCTCTGGAAGGAGTTCAGATGTACTGCAGAAGCCAAGCCAGCCTTAGAAGACACTGGATTGCTGCACCCTCCAGCCAGCAGAGAGCTGGCTACTCGCAGTGGCACGTCTCCACATCATCTGCCCAGACCTTCTGTTTTCTTTTCTGTTTTTAGGTAAAGGTAGGGACTTACTAAAAGTTACTTGTTTTTCAATTACAAGATTGCATGGGTTGGTTGTGTTGCTCTTAGGAAGGGTTCCTAACAGTAGGTGCCTAGTTTCTTCATTATCTCTCTATTGAAGAGCAGAGAGTTACTTTTCTTAGTTCTTAATAATTATCCATACTTACTAACACACACCAAGGATTCTCTGAATGTCACTAACTGTCCTCAACATAGCTAAGGACTTTCTGAAAGTTAATTTAGACTAACTCATCTGATCTTTCCTTGAATACTTTACTGAAACAAGTGACATTTAAACTAGGTTATATTTTTTTTCTGACTTGTTCTCAGTTGACTGTTAAATAATGCTTGTTTTCTTTATATCAATATATCCCATTTTGGGTCTTTGTTATTCTCAGTGAGAGATGGTAATGAGTTTTGTTCTCAGGGTCCTCTCTGTTTCAGTGTACTTTTCTGACATCTACGGACACTCGTTGACAAATGGCATTACACCAAAAGACTTCACATTTTTGCTTCATGTCATGTTTTACTCAGCATCTCAAAGGACAGCAACTGACATCGCTTTCCTTGAAGGACAGATGTTTCTTGCTTTTCGGAGTGTTTTTATATGTCTGTCCAGGAAGGTAGCACATCTTTGTAAGATCCACCTTTACTATAAAATTCAGTGTAGAAGCATCTAGAAGAGTGCAGTGTTCACAGCAAGCTCCTGGGTTAGACAGCTTGGTAGTTAGATTCTCAGGAGCCTAGTAGGGTGGATCTGACTTTGAGCCACAGGGTAGTTTTGTTCTTGTTTTTTCATATAGGATCTTCCTAGTTTTGGGGGTTGGATGCTGACGGGCAAACATACCCCAGTCTTGTGAAGTCATTTGTTCTGCTCCTCTTGAAATTTGTTTGTAATGGTATTTTATTTCCAGGTGCCAGTTCTCTTAATTAAGTTTGTACATTTGAGACCAGTAACAACCAAACTAGTTTTTTCCATCTTCAAAATGAGAAAGTTGTTTTTCCACTTTCATTACCTCGTGCATTCCGTCACCAGTTGTCACTCTTTGAGTTCTTGCATTCTTGTGGTTATCGTTGTTTCCCACTGGTTCTTGAGTGCTTATGTAATGTGTGGGGGGTCAGATTTGACAAGGAAGATGTACAGTTGTCCAGTGATGGTACTCTAACCAAGGATGTCTCTTTTTCATTCCAAATCACCCAGAGAAACATGTTTATATCTTGTTCTGTAAATTACTAAGTGGTTTATGCCCATATCTCAGTTTTATGCATGTGCCTCCATTTAAGAAATAAAACATTTTTGCTCTTTAGCATGCTGGACTATGACACAGAGAACCTGAACTCTGAAGAAATCTATAGTTCTCTGCGGGGAGTTACAGAAGCCATTGAAAAGTTTAGTTTCCGAAGCCAAGAAGATCTGAATGAGCCAATTAAGCGCGATGGCAAAAAGGACTGTGATATCGTAAGTATCTTCAGGCTAACAGAGAACTAAGTATTGATTAATTGATGGTTACTTAATCTTCTGAACACCGACCACCAAGGTTACAGAGCTTCATCGTTATTTTTATCCGGTACTTAGAATAAGTATTTTTAGAGGCCCAAGGCAAATTTACAAAAATTCAGAAAAGTCACTGTGTCTATCTTTGCAAAGAATATCAAATGTCCTTTTCTCAGTTTACTTTTGTTTATCCCATATTTTGTTCCTACTATGTGCATAAAATGGTGACCCTGAAACAGACACCAGCCTCCTGGCAGCTTGTGGGAGAGCCAGGCTAGCAAGCACAAGATGGTGGTGCAGTGGATGTGGTCAGGACTCACACCCACAAGCCTGGTGCTAAGAAAGCTGCTGCAGAGGTAGTATGGCCCTCTGGGGTGACCTGACTGTCAGGAGTCTGTCAGCAGGAGCGTCATAGTCAGGCAGGGCCTGTGTGAAGGTCAGGAGAGGAGAGCAGCCCAGAGTTTGTTCGTATTCATTATGGCTGAAATGGAGAGTGGGTGGACCATGTTGTTGGGGAGGTTTTCAAAGAAGAGCCTCAGAGGTCAGCTCAAGAAGAACCCACAAACTAGAGGAATTTCTAGCCTGTTCCTTGACTTTGTCCTGGGGACAATGGAGAGTCTTTGAAGGATTTTTAAGCAGGGAAGTGGCATGGTCCCACTTAACTTTAGAAAGATTGCTGTCACTAGAGGAGGATGGAGAATAATTCTGGAGGAAGTGACAGGGCAAGAACAGAAACAGAAGAGTCTGAAGTCAGAGCTGGTGCCATTCAGTGGTGCCATTCAAGGATATGGTGACCTCTTGGGGCCATAGTAAATTCAGCTGTGGGTGTGTGAACGGTAGGACCTGTGAAAGAAGCAAGCCTCATGGTCATTAGGTCAAGATGCCAGTCAGGAGTGTCAGCCAGTGCCTGAGGGCAGAGGAGTGGCTTGATGGTAGTGAAAAGAACAGGGAGTCAAATCCCAGGTGAGGTTAAGGACAGAATCCCAAGGACAAGTGATGCCAAGAGAATGAACCAGGGAGCCTGTGGTTATGGGAGGTGGGCAAACTGTTGAGGAAGGACTTTCTAGACAAAGAGGTAACAGGTCAGAGGTGGAATAAATTGGTGCCAATGGATTCTTTAAAACTATTTGCATTAAATATTTAATTCTGTTTAAACCTAAATTATATGAAATATGCATTTACTTCAAAATGTTTTAATGTAGAATCAAGAGCTTTTCTTTGAGAATGAGGCCATTGTTTGGACTTCCATGTTTTTTATCTTAAGTAACTTTATACACAATAGACTATAATTTCCAAATTCAGTTTCTTCCAGGAGTTAATTCGCTTTTGAGGCATAGTTCAGTGCAGAGATGAGAATGGATACCAGACTACAGTGGGTTGAGGAAGCACATAGAGAAACTGGGAAGAGATGGGGTTCATTCAAGGGGCTTTTCAGGTGGGAGAGACTGACCTAAAAATCTCTGTTTATACCATGGAAGGGAGCAGATGACTCATGAATACAGAGCCTTCAGGATGTGGGGCATGAGATGTGGGCCCAGGTGGAGCAATTGGCCTTAGCCAGGAAGGAGAAAGGGTGGGCTTGTGGGGAGGACAGGGACTGTGTTCCCACTGCGGCTCCTGCTCTGAAGCTTGGGGCTTGGGGTGGGGAGGAGAATGAGAGGTATCTCCAAAAGCCCCCCTGGGAGTGAGGGGATCTGACTGAGGAAACGGAAGTCCTGTCAATACAGTAGAGAGCCTAGGAAAACAGAGCTCTACCAGGGATTACTTTATCCAGTTATAACTGTAACATATGCCCAATGTATATTTAGATAATGGAAAGAAAAGAAGTTGCTGTCTCTAGATATAGCCACAGTTATTTTGTTCCTGTGTGTGTGTGTGTGTGTGTGTGTGTAATATTGTTTTTATAAAAGTGCCATCAGGTTCCTTTTTGGTTCATAAGAATGACGATGAGAACAGTAGATGTGGAACAGTAGACTTGAAGGGCCTGCTATATTCCAGAGGTGGGGCTGTTCCTGAGTGAGGATGTGACTAGAAAAGGTAGAGTGAAAAGTAACAGTAGAGCCAAAAAAATCACACTATTGTGTGAGCTGTACAGATGTGCCTTCCTCTAAACCTAGTTATGTTGTCAACACATGACCCATCTGACGTGGGGGGGGGGGTGATATCATATGTGTGTCCTGCTTGGCACAGGACATGAGTGCTTTCCCCATTGGTATTCCTCTGTGTGAACTTTTATGGTTGCGTGATAATTCAGCATGTGTATGGGACGTGTACCCAGTGGCCCATTTTGGAACATTTAGGTGATGTATAATTTTTCACCAAACAAACCACAGTGAACATGGAAAGAAGTGAAGCTTGATGGGAAGAAGTAAACAGGGCAAAGCTTGAGAAGCCTCACATTACCACAGACTGATGGAGTAGAAGGACTGGGATGAGAGAGTACAGGACTAGAGAGTCAGGGGGGTGAGAGGCTGAATGCACTGTGGTCGTCCTCGGAATCCGTAAATCACTTTTTTTGTTGTTGTTTTTTTGGTACCACAGATTGAACCCAGAGGTGCCTAAACAGTAAGCCGCATCTCAGCCCTTTTTATTTTTTATTTGGAGGCAGGGTCTCACTAAGTTATGTAGGGCCTTGCTAGATTTTGAGTCTGGCTTTGAACCTGCAGTCCTCCGGCAGGTGTGCACCACTGCTACAGCTCTTCCATACCCTTTAACTCATCCTTAGGTTGCTTACAATACCTAATACAATGTGACTGCTGTGTAAATAATTGTTATACTGTATCGTCTAGAGAATAGAGATGAGAAAATGAAGTCTGTACGTGTCCATTACAGATGCAGGGTTTTTATCTGAATAGCTTTGACCTATAGCTGGTTGAGTCCACAGATGTGGAACAGTAGACTTGAGGGCCTGCTGTATTCCAGAGGTGGGGCTGTTCCTGAGTGAGGATGTGACTAGAAAAGGTAGAGTGAAAAGTAACAGTAGAGCCAAAAAAAAATCAAAGTGTAGGGCTAGGGTGTGGCTCAGGGGGAGAGCACTTGTCTCATGAACCTGGCTCCCGTCCCCAGCACTGCAAAGAGTTGAGGAAGTTTGCAGTCCAGCATCTTCATCATAATTACTAACTGGTTAGCTGAGAAGCTGAGGTAGGGCAAAACTCAATGCAGAGTGTAGAAGTCAGGAGTATGTCTCCCAGAGCTGGATGAGCAGACCCAGCCTGGACGGGGGAGGACCACAGAACGAACGTCCCATCCAGTGGGAGCACAACTCATATGAGGAGAAACAAGATTGTCACACATGGAGGAAAGTCCCCCCTAATGAGTAATCACAGAGTACAAGGCATGGATATTGAAGTCCTATTCTGCTTTAAGTAGACATCATTTAATGGTAGAAAGATTATAAGAAACTAGGGCGATATTGGTGGCTTGGAAAAGTGATATAGTTGTTTTAGAATATATATAGCAAATTTGATTTTCATATCCTTTACCCAATAATCTGTGTTAAATAAGGAACTCGGCAAAAGAAAATTATTTATTTCCACAAAGTTGTGTGTTTAACATTATTTACATAGCAAAAAACAAACCTTTTTTTAATATGGAAGGGGAATAGTTGTGTTAATCTTATTAAAAAACAAATAAATATAAATTAGTGATATGATTAAACATGATGGCTACAAAACTTTATTCACACATGAAATGCTTATGGAGTAAGGAAAGCAAGATATAAACTGCTACATACCCTGGGGTTCCTCCACCCTGCATAAAGTCCACATATAGACCAAGAGTGGGGTGATAAATATGAAACAAAAGTAAGATTTTATTATTGTTAAAGGTGATTAGAACTAGGATTGTGTAGCATTATTTTTTAAATGTCTGAAGTTATTTAAATCTCTTTCCTTTAATAAAAGGTGTTTTCATTATAGTAGCAATCTATTTTTTAAAAGAATTTGCAAAGAAAAAATTAAAATCATCTCTGAATTGTCTTTTACTCAGTAACTGCTATTGAGATATGATTATATCTTTTTAGTCTTAATTTGTTTAGGCCTATGCATATATTATATCCTTTATCTTAATTAAATCAGTATAAAATTATTTGTGGCTGTTAAAAGCTAAATGTTTATCAGCTTTTTCACTAGGTATATATCCAAAAGAATTGAAAGCAAGGTTTTAAACATGTATTTATATACCAGTGTTCATAGCAGAATTATCCACAGTAGACAAAAAGTAGAAACAACCCATATGTCCATCAACAGATGCATGAATAAAGAAAACATGATATATATAGACAATGGAATATTATTCAGCCTTAAAAAGGGATGGAACCTGATATGTGCTATACCTGGTTGAATCTTGAAAAACATGCTGAGTAAAACAGGCAAAACAGTCACAAAATGAAAATATTTTATAATTCCCTTTATTTGCAGAAAAATTCATAGAGACAAAAAATAGAATAGAGGTTATGGAGTGGGGAAAGAAGGGAAAGGAAGTTATTTTTTAGTGGGTGTAGAGTTTTTATTGGGAATGATGCAAAGGTTTTGGGTGTACATAGTGATGATGTTTTGTTTTTTTTTTTTTCATAGTGATGATGTTTATACAACATCACGAGTGTATTTAATGTCACCAAATCTTACATTCACAAGTGATTAAAATGACGTTATAAGTGTTTAACTATGAGAAAAACAAGCAAGTGCATAAGCACAAAATGAGAGAGATGTCTCCTCAGCAGCAGCCCAAGGAAAATGTTGCCTTGCAGTCCCCAGGGTGGTCCGGCTGCCTGGGAGCATGTCCCCCGTACTTTGGCAGTCAGTGTCGGGTGAGAGAGCCTGTCCCACTGCCGTTGGTCAGCACATACTGGCTCGGTTACAGTGCCACCCTGCAGAGGGGGCCATTGTGCCTCAGGAGAGGCCCCTAGGGATAGAGGGGCCAAGACATGGTGTGGGGCCATCAGAAGACTGGGGCTTTGGTTTTTCAAAGACAGTTCTTACAGTATTCTTAGGGGAAAAAAACAGAACTCAGAAAATAACAAAGATTAATTCTTTGACCCTGAGTCAGAACTATCCAGAGGAGAAGTGCCTCTGCCCAGGAGGTGCTGAGGTCCCCCTCGGTGGAGGTGACCGCTGTTGTCTGGCCCAGCCTCATGGATACATACAGGAACTGACCAGGGGGCTGGAGAGCCTTAGGCTTAGTGATCGCAGCCGGAAGTGTCTCTTGGGGGACTTTGGCAGGGCATCTGTGAGAGGCCTCACCCTGGTCTGGGACACACAGACCTCACTGTCACACATGAGGGTCCTCGAGTACTGGTCACGGAGGGCACGGCTTTCCCTTCCCAAGATTCTTCGGAATGTCATGGAATCAATCCCTTGGAAATGCTCGAGTACAACCAATCCCCAAATAACAGAGTAAAGTAGATTTAAGTGTAAGTGGATGACTGGGTGGACACAACAATCCTAAAGGTATTCCCCTTTACAGTAGCTTATGAGATGCTCCTAGCTGTTCTTTTGTCAGTGGCCAGGTTTCCAATGAAAATCTCTGGCCCTAGTAGTATTTCTGGGCATTCAAAGAAAACCTGTGTTGACAGTCCCAGAAGGGAACTGACTGTGTGCTGTGTTCCAGGTGTCCCGTGATGGAGGAGCTGCCTCGCCAGCCACCGAGGGCCGGGGAGGCAGTGAAGGGGAGGGAGGCAGGACAGCTCTGGACAACAAGACCTCCCTCCTCAACACCCAGCCTCCGCGCGCCTTCCCAGGGCCGCGTGCACGGGAGTACAACCCGTATCCCTACTCAGACACCATCAACGCCTATGACAAGACCGCCCTGAAGGAGGCCGTGTTTGACGATGACATGGAGCAGCTCAGAGATGGTTTGTCTCTTTGCTTGGTTGCACTTCATCCAGAAATGCCTTCCCTCTTGTCTGACCATCCCTGAGCATACTGATCAATTATAAATGGAAATACTGGGTCTGTGCTGTTCAGTTATTGGCTCAGACTCCACTTACTGAATCCTGACCTGTGCTTAGGCATGCGAGCACGCAGTGGACAAAGCCTCAGCAGTTCCGGCCCTCTGCACACTTGCAGTCTGGTATGGAGACACCAGGAATAAATAATCACACCAACTGTGTAAAATTGCAGCCGGGACAGCTATGCAGAGAAGGCCAGCTAGCTCCACCACTGGGGAGACATCATGAGGAAGCCAGGCCTGAGTGGGCAGGAGCTGATGGGGAGGACATCCTAGCACAGAGCTCAGTGCACAGTGTCTGGGAAGGCCTTGATGACCTCTGCCCTCCCAGCTCCCTCAGCCATGGAAATGAGATCAGAAATACCCTCAAAGGCTCCCCTCTTCTCTCCCAGTATCCCTTAAGCAGCCCTCCCTGAGCTGTGCCATGGTGAGAGGGAGGCCAGGTAGCATCCCACGGAACTCTTGCCTTACCGCGTGTGTGCGTGGTGCTGAGCAGAGTACTCATCTCACTGAAATAGAGGCCTTCTTTCCCAGTTTGCATATTAAGAAACTGAGGCTCAGAAAGGTTATGTTTCTTGCATAAAATATAACATAGGTAGTCCGCAGTAGAACTAGCCTGGGTTTTTCCTTACTCCCATATTAAGACCAATGTCCAAAGACTAGTGGTAGAGGGCCCTGGATTCAACCCCAGCACCAGAAAAATAAAAGAAAAAAGATCAGTGTTTATTATTAAGTAACAAGTGAGTAAGAATGTATAGGTTTGAGGGTATATTTTTAACCTAGAGCTTACTTTTATCATTTTTTACCTCACTTGTCATGTTCACTTGTTTTATTTCCACTTCATAGTGACTTTTAAAATTTTACATATGTCCGAGCCAGGTTAGTTAGGTGGTGCATGCCTATAAACCCAGTGACTTGGGAGATCGAGGCAGGAGGATTGAAAGTTCAAGGCCAGCCGGGGCAACTTAGTGAGACCCTGTCTCAAAATTAAATATAACAAGGGCTGAGGATGTAGTAGTCCCGCACCTCCCCCCAAAAAAAAAGAACAAAAGAAATTATGTGTGTATGTCTTATGTCAAAGCCTACTGTTTTATTTTTGAGTGAATAACTGAGAACCCTAAATTAGAACACTAAGCAATTAACATCCACTCGCCTGCCTTCTGTACGTTCTGAAGTGTGAGGGCCCGGGTGGCCCAAGCCTGTTGGGTAGCAGGCTCACAGTGATCACACGAGTATGAGAGGAGGGCTATGGGAAGGGCATATGCCAGATTCAGAGACACAAGGAGAGAGAGGGATCAACAGTGACAGATGTTGGGTTTGAAAAGAAGTCCTTCAGTGGTCCAGGAGTTGGAGAACAGACCCTGCTGGCTGTCCACTGCCACTGCGGTGTGTAGGCACTCGGCATCTGCCAGAGCACTGTTCCCTGGGCAGTGGGCTCAAGGTGTGGAGTGTCTGTGACTGTGTTTTCTGGGAGAAGTGGCCTGTTTTCTTCATTGCTTGTAGAATTGGAACATCATTTACCTTATCCATTATTGATTTTGATTAAGGTCGAATCGAGATTAGAATATCAGTTATTATTTATCTACCAACTGTGTACTAAAAGGCTTAAAGAAAAAGGTGGGATGGCAAGGGGGAAGTGACAAGCTTCCTTGAACAATTTAAACTTCCTTGTGTGCTTTTCTTCCTAATGTCAGAAGCTAAAGAAATATGCAAATATACATTTCAGTAGTTCTTTATATTTGCTTGATTTGTCTGTTTTTCTCTCTCTTTAAAGTTGCATATTCAGAATTGAGTCTCTTAAACAAACATGGAAAGAGAAAGGATAGGTCTTTCTACCGGTTCTATGATTCAGGGCCTTGCAAGTAACTGTTCTAAGAGATCTTGTGCAGGCTGTCCCGTCTGAGCAGACAGTCTCTAAATAGTGCAGACACCTTTTTTGATATTTGTTCACTGTGATGGTTCCCAAACTGTGGACATTCAAAGGAAACACTTTAGAGATGATGGTGACCTAGAATACAGGTGTACTGGAGTGGGTCAGTCCTGCAGTGGGACAGAGTTTGGGAAAAGAATGAAGTCAAGAAGAGGCTTTTGGTTGGGTGTGGACTTTCGGAGGGATCTAGTATTTTCTCTGTCTAAAATTAAAGGGAAAAGATGGCAAGGAAAGGCAGAGACACCAAGAACTGCACTGGACAGCTGTCATGGCCTGGGAAGGTCTGCAGGGCTGGGGGAGAGCACAAAGGGAAAGGCACAGGATATGGGGAGAAGGCGAGGATTGCAGGAGCCCTGTGGCCAGCGTTTCCTCCTGAGGTGACATCTGTCATGTGTTTTTCCCCAGTGCCCATTGACCATTCTGACCTGGTGGCTGACCTGCTGAAAGAACTGTCCAACCACAACGAGCGGGTGGAGGAGCGGAAAGGTGCCCTGCTAGAGCTGCTCAAGATCACCAGGGAAGACAGCCTGGGCGTCTGGGAGGAGCACTTCAAGACCATCTTGCTGCTGCTGCTGGAGACCCTTGGAGACAAAGATGTGAGGCGCTGACTTGTCCCCACACAGCCCTTTTCCATGTGGCAGGTTTTGATGTCCTTTGCTGAGGAGGTGTTGGCTTCTGCTTTCATTTCTGGATTGCACTCCTAGTTGACCTCAAAACATTTATTCAGTTTTCACATAGTTTAAGGTAACATGTTTATTAGTTACAGGCCTCTGCTTCTCTAACTGGGTTTGCAGTAGTTGAGGGAAACTCATTCTTGCATCTGGTTACTTTGATACAGAATTGCTTAAAACTTTATTAGAATAGAATGTGTCTCTTGGGATGCATCTTCTTCCTTGTGAATTCATTTCTGTTTTACATGGAATGGAGAAGTAGAAGGGTTTATTTTTTTTAAAGACTCTTAAATATTGCATCCCCTGAAACTCCATCTTGGTTCACCTTACTTGTGTTCACAGTTCCTCTCAGTAATCTGGGTCAGTCAAGTGACAGTTGCATCACTGTGACTCCTATAGTATTTGTTTTAGAATTAAAGACCCTCTTCATGCTAGGACACTTGAAGGTGACATACTAGGTATTTGTGATATGAATAGATGTTGGGAATTGCCAGAATTAAACTTTTTAGAAGTAAAAATCCATCCCTCCACATTGGCCTTGTGTAGGTTAGCAAAAATAGCTACAGTGTGTGTGTGGTGAGAAGCTAGTTGGGCAGGACTGGGAGAAGCTAACCAGGCCTGGCCCAGGGTCATCGTGATGGTGACTCGTGTGACAGAGGAGGAAAGAGGGTGGCTTACTCAGTGCTTGGGGGTAAGGATAGTAAGACTGAAGAAGGGTAGCGAGAGGTCTGCACTAACTTCTTTACATCCAGTACTGGCTGGGGAAGCAGTCGTGCTTAGCTGGGCTCCATCAGGAGGTGAAATGATGGCCCGTGGAGAGCAGGTGGTCGTGTGTTCGTGTGCAAATTGTACAGTTGAGTGACAAGGAATCAGGATGTACTTCTTGGCTGTGTTTGGTGTAAACTCCATTCTCTTTTCTTGAGATTAGCCGTCTGTTTGGGATGGCTTTCCTCCAGACACATGACTCGGGCCTTAAACAACTCCGGGCCTGTACCCATCATGATCTCATCACATAGAAGGTCAGGCATACCAGCAGGTCTGCAGCTGTCTCTCAAGAGTTCACAGGCCATGCCCAGGAAAGGGCTAGATGCTTTGTGTCTGTCCTTTGGTATACTTTACAGAAGCGTAATTTCTATCCTGAAGTCTCAGGCAATCCAGCAATCCCCAGGGAACTGATAATGAACTTGGAGGTGTCATCCTCATTTGGTCTGCAGTTCAAAGCTCATTCAAGAAGCCTCTGTGGTTCCTCCTAGGGCTGGGTCTGGGATGCACCGTGCCATACAGTGCCTGCCCTCCTAGAGCTAACTGTCTAGAGAGTCCTGTCAAGTAAACCATGCAGTCTGGGTAGAGGGGTCTTTGAAATGCCGGGGAACCCAGAACTAGGCGCTGGGCCTGGCGGACCCTGGAGCTGGTATGGCTCCTCAAGCGTGTGTATTGTTACTGAGGGTTGCGTTTCCTCTCGTACCCAGCATTCAATTCGAGCACTGGCATTGCGAGTTTTACGGGAAATTCTGAGAAACCAGCCTGCAAGATTCAAAAACTACGCTGAGCTGACGATCATGAAGACTCTGGAAGCCCACAAAGACTCCCACAAGGAGGTGAGCCAGGGCTGCTGAACAGATGGGGCTGGGGGAACAGGTGGTTGGGGAGAGAGGACAGGGAAAGAGAGTCTCTCCCTCTAACTCAGCCCATGGTACAGTGTGAAGTTTCCATCGCCATCATTATGGCTGAGCAGTGGGCACATTTAAAATGCCAGCAAAGCATCCCTCTGGTTCTCCGGCCCCAGGACTCCAACTGCTTGTTGGAGAGCAGGCAGGATGTGTGTCCACACTGCACATGTGTCACAGACAGTGGCTTCTTGGCGGACACCTGGCTGATGCTCGTTGACTTGTTCAGTACCTGTGGCTCGACAGTCCCGTGAGTGGCTGGAGGCCCACAGAAAGTGGGCATCCATCCTAAACAAAGGAGTTTAGCAGCACCCTTCAATAACAGGACTGTGGGAAACAAACTTTGTAAATTTAGAACGTTAGAAAATTTAAAATGACTTTGACCCCAGTGAGACATAATTGCTTCCTCGGATTACTCTCTTGGCTCTCACTTGATCCTTTTATAAGCAGGTTTGTGGATTAAGGGACTTGGGATTAGAACAGGTCTATGGAAAGAAGGAAACCCTAGGATTGAGGATGTAACCCAGTGGCAGAACACTGGGTTTGGACCCCAGCACCACAAAAGAACAAAATCCAAAGAATGAGACTCTAAATAGAGTGTTTCTCTTTGACAGTGGCTACTTGAACAGTGGTGGTTTTGACCTCTCTAGTCACTAACTTGTGGCTCAGCAAGGGCAGCATCCCCTGCTCTGGCTTGGCATGCCTCCACCTGCTAGTCCTAGCACAACTCTGAGTCCATAGGCAGGAGCTGTGTTTTCCAGCTAATAACTTGTGTTCCAAAACCTGACCTGGTTGTGTGATGGCGAGAATCAATAACGTGTGAACAAAACACTTCCATTTACAATGGTGCACTTAAAAATGAGGATTGGATATGCTAATATAATCAACCAAAGTTCTCCCAGATGAGAAAGGAGGATCCCAGAGAAGCCTGCCCAGCAGTGAACCAGGTCTTGGTCTCTTGTAAGCGACAGCTGGCCTGTGCGACTTGATTTCTTTTTTAAAATCATAATAGCTTGTCCTTCAAAAAATGAAGTGAAATTGATTTTCTTTTTTACCTGGATGATAATGGTTGCTTTCATAGTAAAGGACATGTTTGAATGGAAGATTAAAGTGAAATCATAAGCTCGCGACAGTATATTGGCACTTACTGACTATTCCATTGCAGGGTGTCTGTCTTTAAACCAGATCTTGACAATAAGAAGTATTAGGTAATAGAATTAAATCATCTGTCTGCTATTTACTGTTTTCTTGGGATATTTTGTTTTTTCCCTGCAAAATGAGTGATCTAGAAGAGAAAGCTCTTCTGGATGCAACGCCCTTATATTGACCAAAGGAAAAGCAGGAAATCTCCTGCCTCAAATAAATGCAGCAACTCTGTGTGAAGGTGGAATTATTGAAACCCGAGCCCCCCCACCCCACCCCCACACACACTGCTGTCATCGTTGACCTGAAACAGCCGGTGGAGGAGACTGTTCGAGTGGAGCTCCCATGTTGGCAGACTCCCCTGCTTTGCATACTTTCAAACTCACCTTGACTCTGTGCCCTTGCCATTCCCTCTTGAAGCTGCAATCTGTCACACTGCCAGAAGCTACTTGGGCACCTGTGTATTTAGGTTTTAGGTCTTTTTCTCGTTTTATATTTTCAGATGAAACGCAGACTTCAGCAGGGAATAAGAACATGAGGGCTGGGGAGGTGGCTCACTAGTAGTAGAGCGCTTCCTTGAATGTGTGAGGCCCTGTATCACACACACAAAAATAGAAACAAAACAACCCTGAGACGTGACGCATACCTGTAATCCCAGCGGCTCAGGAGGCTGAGGCAGGAGGATCGCGAGTTCAAAGCCAATCTCAGCAACAGTGAGACACTAAGCAACTCAGTGAGACCCTGTCTCTAAATAAAATACAAAACAGGGCTGGGGATGTGGCTCAGTGGTCGAGTGCCCCTGAGTTCAATCTCCAGTACCAAAAAAACAAAACAAACCCTGAGTGGCTGGTTCGCAGAGGACTGCTCTGAGAGACACTGGCACTGGTGTCCTCTCTTGCAGGCTATGCTAGTCACCATGCCGCTGTATGTTAGCTCTGGCTGTGGAACCGCAGTAGTGCAGGGCAACTTCTAGAAACACCTTTTCTAGAATCTGAAACCTGTCATAAAAGCTGTTGCACAGGATGGATAAGGTGAGGCTAATGACAAGGTGGCTTGTTTTTTCATCCTGTAAGCAACAGTCTGTTTTCTGAGGTTCTTTTAAAAGAAACTGTGTTCCAGGAGAGGTGGTACATGCCCCTATTTCTGGCTAATTCCAGCTCCTCAGGAGGCTGAGGCAGGAGGATCTGAAGTTGGAGACCAGCATGGGCAATTTAGCAAGATCCTTTCTTAAAGAGGGCTCAGGGGCAGCTCCATAGTAAAGCAGTAGCTTGGCATGTGTGAGGCCCTGGGTTCAATCCCCAGCACCACGAAATAAGTAAATAAAATCAAAGTAATTGTGAGGGAAAACATTTCTCTAACACACTGAAAATATAAGAGGCACTAAATCTCCCTCAGAGCTGCCCAGCTGAAGCTAATGTGGATCTCCTGTCCTGAGCCTGAGGGTTGGAGAATTTGGATACAAATTTAGACATTTTATTTTAAAAGGAGTTGTTTGTCAGCTTAGACATAATCTTTTTTTTTAATATTTATTTTTTAGTTTTAGTTGGACAAAATACCCTTATTTCACTTATTTATTTTTATGTGGTGCTGAGGATCGAACCCAGGTTCCGCACGTGCAGGGCGAGTGCTCTACCGCTGAGCCATAACCCCAGCCCAGACATAATCTTTTCATAGTCCCTATTTAATAAGTGAATCTCTTCCATTATCTAACTTTTTTTTTTTTAATTTTTAGTAAATGATGTTGCTGTTGAGTTCTGGTGTGCCAGTAATGAAGAGTCTGCAGTTTACAGTGGCGTTGGCATTCAGTTAACACCTTAAAGGGCTGAGGCTTGGTAGAAACCTTTTAAAACCTGGAGCCCATTTTCTGCTTTCCATGATAACTCCATTAACTTAAACTCTTGTCCTTTTAGAATTTGTAATCTGTTTTTGAGTCAGGTACAGAATCTCTCTTTGGGTGAGGGAGAAGAGATGTCATGAGGAAGAGATGGCTGGGACATTGTGAGATGTGAATCTGGTCCAGCACCTGCTGCTGGCCACCTTGTTTATGACCCTGTATGAGCAGGACTGTTGAGAGAAAAAAGGTATAAAGGGAAATACACTTTTTTCTTTTTTCTGGCAGTTCTGGGGTTAGAACCAGGACTTCTCCATGCCAGGCGGGCACTCTACCACTGAGCTATACTCCCAGCATGAAATAAGTTTTTTTTTTTTATTGGTTGTTCAAAACATTACAAAGCTCTTGACATATCATATTTCATACATTAGATTCAAGTTGGTTATGAACTCCCAATTTTACCCCAAATACAGATTGCAGAATCACATCGGTTACACATCCGCATGTTTACATAATGCCCTATTAGTAACTTGTTGTATTCTGCTACCTTTCCTATCCTCTACTATCCCCCCTCCCCTCATGAAATAAGCTTTTAAAGCTATCATCTGCTTCACAGATTTTTTTTTTTAAACCCAGAGGCACTTTACACTGAGCTACATTCCAGCCCTGTCAATCTATCTGTTTATTTAGAGGCAGAGTCTCACTGAGTTGCTTAGCACCTTGCTTTTGCTGAGGCTGGCTTTGAACTCATGATCCTCCTGTCTCAGCCTCCCAAGCTGTTGAGATTACAGGCATGCACCACCGCTCCCAGCTTATTTATTTTTGAGGCAGGGTCTCACCAAGTATTTAAGTTTCACTGAGTTACTGAGGCTGATCTTGAACTTGTGATCCTCCTGCCTCAGCCTCCCAAGTCACTGGGATTATGCTGCATAACTATTGCTACATAAAACTGTTCACAGACCTTGCTATCCATTTGCAAAGCACCTATCTCTTGGGAAAACATGGATGTGTCAATTATGAATTATAAATCATTTCAAAATGCAAAGATGATCATTGCTCCCAGACATGTGTCTTTATAGAACCCACAGGTTAAAGTTGTCAGTAAATGTTCTATTTGAACTAGAGAGAAGTGCCAACTGTACTTCTTGAAGACGTTCTAACATCACTGAGGATTTTCCATTTTTAGAGTTAGCGTTTTCTGAAGTTGGCCACTTCAGTGAATAATCAGTTATATTTGCCCACTTAAAAGTGGAAACTTAGTCAAGTGCTTTGGCACACTGGTGGTCTCAGCTACTCAGGAGGCAGAGACAGGAGGATTCCAAGTTCAAGGCCAGCCTGGACAATTTAGTGAGACCATGTCTCAAAATAAAAGGGCTCAGGGTATAACTCAGTGATAGAGCACCACTGAGATCAATCCCCAGTACACAGGGGAAAATTAGTAAATTAATTAAAATGGAGAGGAAAATAGTAGCATTTCATGTCACTGTATTGGACCACCAAATATTTCTAAGCACACATAAAAATCTTAGTGTTTAAGACATTAGAATTCAGCTTTAGGTGGTTTGGCTTGTTTGGGGGAAGTTGGATTCTTAAATAAACATAAAATAACTATTATGCCTGTGATATTTTATTTCTAAATCATTTCCATTTAAATTTTATCTTTTATGACCTTAAGGAATTAAAAGTGAAATCAGATCAGAGTTAGTTTTAAAATAAGAGAATTTCCTAGGACTAGCTGTCTGCCTTCCCTCAACCAGCCTGTTGTGCTTTCTGCAATGCTTTTGGCCATAGAAATGCAAGTAGGCCAGAGAAGCCATGTTATTGAGCTGGTGTTCTGCAGAAGCCTATTACAGTTCCCAGCTAACCTCCCAATCCACACCCCTGTGCAGAGGAATGGCCCGCAGAAGCCCACAGGGCAATTCCCATGTGTCCATGGTTCTGGGGAACAGTATACTGA